TTTGTTTGTTTGTTTGTTTGTTTGTTTGTTTGTTTTAGTCCTTGGTGGTCTTTGTGCCGTACGTACTACACACGTGTTATAGAAGACACTGAAGCTCAAAACAAAGCCAAATAATGAAAAAACAAGAAAACTTAAAATACCAGCACTGAATAAATTATGTTTTTAAAACTTCTGTTTTATACGGCTTCGCATCTTATGAATCCTTTGCTTCCCCTATGGCTTTTAGAGTCAGGGTTAGGATTAAGGATCGTACACAATAACCCCATATTACGTTAGGCAGCATATCACTAGATCAACACCTGTATGTACACGATTCTAAACTGTTAAGCTCAGCTTTGAGCTTTAGGCAACATATCACTAGATCAACATCTGTATGTGCACGATTCTAAACTGTTAAGCTCAGCTTTGAGCTTTAGGCAACATATCACTAGATCAACACCTGTATGTACACGACTCTAAACTGTTAAGCTCAGCTTTGAGCTTTAGGCAACATATCACTAGATCAACACCTGTATGTACACGACTCTAAACTGTTAAAAGCAACTCTGAGCTTTAGGCAGCATATCACTAGATCAACACCTGGATGTACACGACTCTAAACTGTTAAGCTCAACTCTGAGCTGCGACACAGCTGACACAAAATCACAGACGTTCAATTCTGGATGTGACTTTGGCATTTTGACTCGTCCAAAAGTAATTTTCTAGACGCGCTCTAACGCCTCTTCATCATCAGGATATATAATAAAACCAGGTAGACATTATATACATTATTTGATATAGCTATTTTAAGTGAAGAGGGGGTGGAGGGGGGGGGGTAGTCGACTGGGTTTTGTGAAGTTTTTTAACGATAGCGGAGTGGGTAACACTAGTCGGCTACAACTTTGAAACGTCACTTGTTGAATCTACCCCCCCCCCACCCCCAACCAAAAAAAAAACACCGACCACAAAAAAAACGAAATTCTGTTGGGGATTGCATTAAAGAGGCCAGGGTTGTCACTTGCAGACAGTTCGGTCCCATTGTGTCGATACCTGCTCTTTAAGAAATACAACCCCCACCCCTCCAACCCCCGCCAATAAATTTAGGACGATCTCAAACATCAAGGATCAGTTTAACATCGAATTAATTCAGTGATTGTTTCAAATGTCAATTGAGTTCACTCTCGTCTCTGTGGTTGTGTCGTAAACCTTACACGGATGTGGCGGGTCTAATTTAAACGACAGGAGGGGGGAGGGCGGGAGGTATTACAACAGACGGACAGGAGGGAGGGAGGTACAACAGAGAGACAGGAGGTCAGGAGGTACAACAGAGAGACAGGAGGGAGGGAGATACAATAGACAGGAGGGAGGGAGGTACAACAGAGAGACAGGAGGTAGGTACAACAGAAAGACAGGAGGGAGGGAGGTACAACAGAGAGACAGGAGGGAGGGAGGTACAACAGAGAGACAGGAGGGAGGGAGGTACAACAGAGAGACAGGAGGGAGGGAGGTACAACAGAGAGACAGGAGGGAGGGAGGTACAACAGAGAGACAGGAGGGAGGGAGGTACAACAGAGACACAGGAGGTCAGGAGGTACAACAGAGAGACAGGGGGGAGGGAGGTACAACAGACAGACAGGACATAGGTACAAAAGAAAGACAGGAGGGAGGGAGGTACAACAGAGAGACAGGAGGGAGATACAATAGACAGGAGGGAGTGAGGTACAACAGAGAGACAGGACATAGGTACAAAAGAAAGACAGGAGGGAGGGAGGTACAACAGAGAGACAGGAGGGAGATACAATAGACAGGAGGGCGGGAGGTACAACAGAGAGACAGGAGGGAGGGAGGTACAACAGACAGACAGGACATAGGTACAAAAGAAAGACAGGAGGGAGGGAGGTACAACAGAGAGACAGGAGGGAGATACAATAGACAGGAGGGCGGGAGGTACAACAGAGAGACAGGAGGGAGGGAGGTACAACAGACAGACAGGACATAGGTACAAAAGAAAGACAGGAGGGAGGGAGGTACAACAGAGAGACAGGAGGGAGGGAGGTACAAAAGACAGTAGGGAGGGAGGTACAACAGAGAGACAGGGGGGAGGGAGGTACAACAGAGAGACAGGAGGGAGGGAGGTACAACAGAGAGACAGGAGGGAGGGAGGTACAACAGAGAGACAGGAGGGAAGGAAGTACAACAGAGAGACAAAAGAGCGGGAGGTACAACAGAGAGGCAGGGGGGAGGGAGGTACAATAGACAAGAGGGAGGGAGGTACAACAGAGAGACAGGAGGGAGGGAGGTACAACAGAGAGACAGGAGGGAGGGAGGTACAACAGAGAGACAGGAGGGAGGGAGGTACAACAGAGAGACATGAGGTACAACAGACAGACAGGAGGGAGGGAGGTACAACAGAGAGACAGGAGGACGGGAGGTAAACAGACAGGAGGGAGGGAAGTACAACAGAGAGACAGAAGGGAGGGAGGTACAACCGACAGGAGGGAGGGAGGTACAACAGAGAGACAGAAGGGAGGGAGGTACAACCGACAGGAGGGAGGGAGGTACAACAGAGAGACAGAAGGGAGGGAGGTACAACAGAGAGACAGAAGGGAGGGAGGTACAACCGACAGGAGGGAGGGAGGTACAACAGAGAGACAGAAGGGAGGGAGGTACAACAGAGAGACAGAAGGGAGGGAGGTACAACCGACAGGAGGGAGGGAGGTACAACAGAGAGACAGAAGGGAGGGAGGTACAACCGACAGGAGGGAGGGAGGTACAACAGAGAGACAGAAGGGAGGAAGGTACAACAGAGAGACAGGAGGGCGGGAGGTACAACAGAGAGGCAGGAGGGAGGTACAACAGAGACAGAAGGGAGGGAGGTACAACAGAGAGACAGGAGGACGGGAGGTACAACAGAGAGGCAGGAGGGAGGTACAACAGAGAGACAGAAGGGAGGGAGGTACAACAGAGAGACAGATGGGAGGGAGGTACAACAGAGAGACAGGAGGGAGGGAGGTACAACAGAGAGACAGGAGGGCGGGAGGTACAACAGAGAGGCCTGAGGGAGGTACAACAGAGACAGAAGGGAGGGAGGTACAACAGAGAGACAGGAGGACGGGAGGTAAACAGACAAGAGTGAGGGAAGTACAACAGAGAGACAGGGGAGCAGGAGGTACAACAGAGAGACAGGAGGGAGGGAGGTACAACAGAGAGACAGGAGAGATGGAGGTACAACAGAGAGACAGGAGAGATGGAGGTACAACAGAGAGACAGAAGGGAGGGAGGTACAACAGAGAGACAGGAGGGAGGGAGGTACAACAGACGGATCGGAGGGTGGGTAATACAAAAACAGAGGGACATTGTAAATATCTATCTCAAAATGAAAGTTACAACCTTGAAAAAATGCGCTTGTTTAGTCGGTTGATTAGACCTGATTTTAAGGATTTTAAGGATTTTAATTACTTTAGGAAATAAGGGGGCGTCAAAAACTTATTTTAACGGTTATTCAAATTCGACACAAAAATATAAATTCCCTAACTTATCATAAAATTTCAGATAAGCAATAAATTTGGTAGTTTTGTTTTTATGAAGTCAAGATCTATAAAGATGGGTAGGCCTTTAACACTACTAATATTTACATTATAAAAGTTTCATTTAGAATATATTATAACAGACACTGCCATAATAATATGAGTGGACCTAATGCGCATGGAAGGAGTTTACAAAACACAACATTTGTAATGAAAACACTGGCTTTCATTGTAAACTAAAAACAATATGATTGAAAAAAGTACATAGATTCACAAGATTAAAGAAAATAGTTAGTAAAAAACATAATTAATATACACAGATTTCTTAGCTTAACATTTATTTAACTTTTATTTAACTTACATTATAGGAACTGGAAGCGTGGAAAACGTCGGTCCAACATAAAAATGCTAGAAAATAGATGAAACACCCACACGTGTAAGAGCAGTAGGTCCAACAAGATAAAATGTTAGAACAAAAGAATCAATTTCTTGGTAAATGTTCCTAAACACCCGAAGTTAGAACAAAAGATTCAATTTCTTTGTAAATTTCTTGAACACTCGTACCTGTTCAACAGAATCAACCATTTACATTGTTCTTAGCTGCCCAAAGTTTTAACACGTTAAAATTTGGCATTGGTAGTGGGCGATGACGTCACGAGATCCAGGTGATCAACATGCAAGTCACGTGACAAAGGGCGTGTCACGTGGTTTATGGGTGCGTCCTGCATTGTGGTGTCGTACATGCAAAGGTGGGGAGGGTGGTGGGGGTGGTCGAATGCCAGTAGAGCTAACTTGCTGTTGCTATGAAGTGTGTAAAACACACTCATGTGACTCTAGTCAAGTAAAACAACAGCACATTACTCTGGTCAGATAAACACCCCGCCCCCCCCCCCCCAACATCAGTCAGGCAAAACACACTCATATGACTCTGGTCAGGTAAAACACCCCCCACCCCATATCACTCAAGTCAGATTTAAAAAAAAAACCACATGACTCTGATCAGATGAAACAACACACATTTGAAAACCTTATGCAAATGTTGGCGGCGTGGTTAAGCTAAAGAACACATAGGTTCCAATACAGTGTACGTCCATATAACTACACCGAGTAATGGCGTCTGAGCATATAACAAAGATTAACTCTACTTCAACTTGCATATGGATGGTTAAGTTTTAAAGGAACATTATATATATATATATATATATATATATATATATATATATATATATATATATATATATATATATATATATATATATATATATATATATATATATATATATATATATATATATATACTCAGCTATTCGAAATAAATTATTGAATTAATTAAGCTGGACTATGAAGTCTCATCCCTGGATTGAAAGTTATAGCACTGTGTGACGACGTAAAACGAGACAGTTGATTCGTTATCCGAGCCAAGAGAAGAACCTTGTCAGTGCCGCAAAGCAGTCGTCTTTCCCCTCGGCTTCTGCGGTCCGTGATGGTTTTTTCCAGCACTTAAACATGTCTCTACTAATCACATCCTCGTCGTATAGAACATAAAACAGAGCAAATGTAACACCTGTGGACATTTTTTTTAAAGATCTTTATACATAAATAATTGCATTTTTTTTATTAATGTTAAATTAATGTTAATTTAAAAAAAAAAACAATAAAAAGATGTTGTATAGAGAAAGATAATTTTGTTGACCTACTTTTTAGAGTGGGGGGTTATTTTATTACCTGAAGAGTTTGTCTTGGAGTTAGAGATGACACGGAAGTAAGAAAACGACGATTTGGAAGACTGGTGTCTTTGTGCATGGAATGTTGTATTTATGCAGTGAGTGATGTATTTATGCAGTGAGTGATGTATTTATGCAATGAGTATTGTATTTATGCAGTGAGTGATGTATTTATGCAGTGAGTAATGTATTTGTGCAGTGAATGGTGTATTTGTACAATGGGTGAGTATTTGTGAAGTGAATGATGTATTTGTGCAGTGAGAGATGTATTTTTTGCAGAGCGCTGAGAAGTATCGCGAAAGAGCTAACCAGCCCCATCAGTTAACATGAAGTGGGGGGCGGGGGCGTACGTCTGATGACGTATTGCGAAATGTATTGGGTGAACTCATGTCGTTTAGCTGTACATGTCAACGTCAAATGATAGCAATCGGCACACATCGTATCGGGTACTAAAATGTCAGTTTAAATATTTTTTTAATTCATCCTCGTAACTCTAAGCAAAGTAACTTACAAGACACAAGTATTCATATTTTGTTAATTTTAATGATAATTCTTGTAGGATCATTGCTATGGTGTATGTTTGATCAGGCAAATTGATGCGAATGAATGTTACAATTATGATAGAGCTGATAATAAAGATTTTACCTGAAGGGTGCTCCAATCTATGTATTAGATCCTGAATGGCATACAGTGCCTGAAGTTCCCTCAGGGGTGTGTTTATATATTGTTGTAAAATGTCTTTACGGGCTTTGATCTCCTCTCTGATTAATCTTATATCGCCTATAAATTATAAATAGTTAATTATAAATTTATTATGAATGGCGTTTCAATTAATTTATAACCACAAAAATCCTCAGGATCTCTCACCTGCTACTGAAGTGCCAGCTATTAAAGATATAAGCCCCGTTGTAAACTCGTCGCTTCTTTCAAAATCTTCTAAATTTTCCTAAAAGAAAATTATTATCTTGATATTTTTTTTAAAACTAAGATAATAATAAAAATTTACCTTTAAAATTGTGTAATATGCCAGTTGTTTGCTTTAGCAATACATTATGGTAGATTATACACTAGTAGCTTAATTTTAAAAAATGATCGCATTAAAAAATACATTTATGTACTCAATTATTGTTTCGTTGTCTTCATTATCCAACAACATGATCTTAACTTCATCTATGACATCTTGAACATCTGATTCGTCAGCATTATCCACCAATTCTCCAAATTCAACGGAAAGTGCATTTATTTGTTGGGTCGGCTCTTTCATTAAATCTTTTATTTTGTGGTCAGTTCGAACCTCCAATATCAGAAGATCAGACGCCAAACTTTCTGTTAGTTTCTTCACATCTTCATTCAACTTTGTATCAGTTTTAGACAAAGTCGAGATTTGTGCGTTGCAATGTTCTTCAAATTTTCCTAACGTTTTCGAAACATCAGAAATTTGAGTTGCCAGTTGCTTGTTGGCTTTGTTTATTGTCGATATTAAAGTACTTCTCTGCTGAAGACTTTTGTCTTTGTCTGCTTGGCGTTCAAACTCCACCTCGTCTAATTTTGTCGAGACGTGGTTTACTTTGGTAAGCAGAGTTTCCACTTGTTTTCTTACGGCGTGCAGATTTTCTTTCTCTGAGTCAACAGTTTCTTGTAACTTAGTTAACACACTGTTACATTTGCTGCTTTGGGCTTCTAGTAAACGTATTGAGGCAGAATTTTCGTTTGATTTTTTTATTGGTTCTGTTATAGATTGCTTGATGTTATTTTCACTGTGTGTCTTTAAAACTTCGACCTTGTTATCAAACTCTTCCTTCATTTTTTTATTATTTTCAGACAAATATATAGTTTGTTGGTTTAATTTATCTTGTAGGCTTTTCAAGTCCTGTGTCAAATGAGAACATTCGCACTTCATTTGTTCATTTTCTCTTTTAATTTGTGCCATTATTTTATTTTGCTCTTCATAAAGATTTCTTTTATCCTAGGACTACTCTTTGTAATTATTTTGAGCCTCAACTTCTAAATTATCCAGATGTGTTGTTAACTCCTTGTACTTCTGGTACCATTCGTCTGATGTTCGTTGGATATTCTCTTCAATTTCTTTCCTCTGGTTTGATAACATCGAATTTATTTCCTTGTCTTTCTTTGTCAGTTCAGATGACAAACGGCTGTACACCGACTCGACAATATCGTCAGCATTAACAGAGTTCCTGCATTCTCTTGACTCTGCCGGGGATCAAAATGAAAATAAAATTTAATTTAATTAGCCATGGCGAGTAGGTTGAGATTAAGCATAATGTTTAACAAAGATGTCTTAATAAATATGTTCTCTCTTCTCACATCTGCGCCCTCTGTTCGCTTGATCACGTGATACACATGTGCACACACACACACACACGTACACATCATTAGGCGAGGTGCTAGATCTCCAGCTAAATTGATTCGATGTTTTTCGCTAATAATTATAGCGATGTTGACTATGACTATACTAACTATGTAGGTACGGCGTGGCCTAGAAGTAGAGCGAGTTCGAATCCGGGTTCAATCACTAGAACATCCCAGCTATGGTGGGTACCAAACTCACATTAGTAGGGAAAGTAAAGGCGGCTGGGTATAATGCTGACCACACTATCTCTTCATATGCCGAGGTCTCTAACACAGATGAACTCTACTTCATCTGCCCCGTGTGTCTTGGGCACGAACGGAAAAAGATGATGATACTATACTAACTATGTATTTCGGTGTTAAATTGAATAACCAGGTTGAAAACGTATTCCATGGTTGAGTTCATTTCTTTGTATTTTTCAAAGGGGATCTCATCGGCCTTCATCAGTGCAGTCACGTCATTGTTTAGCTGTTGATTAAACACAAAACAAATTCATACGTGGCTATTGTAATTAATACAACATTTAGAAAACAAATTCATACATGGCTATTGTAATTAATACAACATTTAGAAAACACAGTCATTCATACGTGGCTACTGTAATTAATACAACATTTAGAAAACTCATTCATACGTGGCTTCTGTAATTAATACAACATTTAGAAAATACATTCATACGTGGCTACTTTAATTAATACAACATTTAGAAAACATATTCATACGGATCGAATGTAATTAATACAACATTTAGAAAACACATTCATACGTGACTACTTTGATTAATACAACATTTAGAAAACACATTCATATGTGGCTACTGTAATTAATACAACATTTAGAAAACACATTCATACGGGGCTACTGTAATTAATACAACATTTAGAAAACACATTCATACGTGGCTACTGTAATTAATACAACATTTAGAAAACACATTCATACGTGGCTATTGTAATTAATACAACATTTAGAAAACACATTCATACGTGGCTATTGTAATTAATACAACATTTAGAAAACACATTCATACGTGGCTATTGTAATTAATACAACATTTAGAAAACACATTCATACGTGGCTATTGTAATTAATACAACATTTAGAAAACACAGTCATTCATACGTGGCTACTGTAATTAATACAACATTTAGAAAACACATTCATACGGGGCTACTTAAATTAATACAACATTTTGAAAGCACATTCATACGTGGCTTCTGTAATTAATACAACATTTAAAACACACATTATAGCCTCGCTCACATAAAAAAATTCACAAATGAGTATAGGAGGTATGTATTACTTCTATTAAAAAAACATAAATGATAAGTTATATAGCATGATAACCATATGGTGTAAGGATGAACATAAATTTTATGTGGTAGTAATGTAAACATAAACATAAATTGTATGGGGTAGTAAAGGCTGAATATAAACATGACCCGTATGGGGTAGTGAGTCTCAACTAACGCCATACAGAAAACTTGCCTCAGCGACGCAGTCATTCAGCGCAGTTGCAAACTGGACGTGTTCGAAGTTTACATCCTCTACCTTTTTTTTCAAGTAATGTCGGAAATTATTTTTATAAGCCATTAGTGCGTAGCTGAGTCTCGATATCAGACGTATCCTTGCAAGTTTTGGGTCTCTACGTTGTGTTTGGATTTAAACATTGTTGTTATAGACGGAACACAAACAAAACAAACGACATTCATGTAGGTTTGCTGTAGTAGCGTGTAAGCCCGATTATAAAAAATAATTACGGGAAAATCCAATAACCTAAAAATACTAATAAACGTCCGTTGTTTCGGATTTCTATTCCCGAGCAACACTATGTTCTTTAGTCCAACTCTTATTCTGTTGAAAATAAATTATATAAAAGAAACCAAATGTCAAGAGCGTTAATAAAGCAATTAAGGCATTAAGGCATATGCTTAAAACTAACAGACGAATTAAAAATTATTTTTATATTGTAATATTGTTAATTAATAATGATTAAGTACACATGTGGGTCGGATATGTAGACCAGTAAATATATCAAAAGTATCAATATTATTTTCTATAGGCCTAATGGTTTTCTAAATCAACTAAAACGAAAATCTAGCTAGCAAACATTGAATTAATAGTACTTGGTAGATATTTTATTTCGAACAATATCTTGTTATGGGAAACAACTCAATTAATGGTTTCAGCTAAATCAACCTTGCTTGATTAAGTCCCCTTAAAAGAATGGATCCTTCTTAATCTATATTTTTAGCGCAATTTCCATACAGGACAATCGCGATTATTAACTCATTATTTCTGGATGGATGGATGGATGGATGGATGGAAGGATGTGCGCAGCTTTAAGTCGTATCTCCTCCTCAACGAAGCAATATCGAGGACTAGTTCCAAAGCAAATATGTTAAGCAAGTTCCGAGGATGATTGTGGGCCAAAAAAATTCCCGGAATTCCTTCCTGGATTTCCCGGAAAAGCCAAAAAACCTCGAAAAATGCAGTTTTTGGCCCATATCTCGGCAACCAGACCACTTAGCGACTTGAAACATTTACCAATCGATTCCTGCCATAATTTAAAACAATATTGCCGAAGAAAGTTTTCAAAAATATCCTTTCGTTCGGTCACAAAAAAAAAATTTTAAATTACATAAACACCTACAAACCGATCGTTCTCCTAGCTTGAACGCACCCCAGCATTATACGTCTTGTGTTTTGTCCCCGTGTGTGCTTTACGCTACGACAGAGCTACGGGTTATGAACATAATACACTACAGTAATATATAGCAATATATAGATATAGATCTATGGGGAAAGGGGTGAGTCAAAATAATCTATTTTTCGCTTTCTTTTAGATCTTGCTATAAGTTTATTTTTTTACTTATTAATTCAAACGTTATTTTTGTACCCTATTAATTTATTTATAATTTATATGAGAGTGATAGGGAGTTACAATTACAAGGTTTTGTTTCGCTAGGCCTAATCATTTTTTCACATTTTTTAAAACAAACTTGATCACTATCTATTTTTAGATAACATAAGGAAATTGCGCTTAAATTGTCACTAGGCTTTTTATTAACTTGTTTTTATTATAACAACAACAAAAAAGGGTGGGTGCGATAAAGTGTGTCGTCATTTTTGTGAAGATATGTGACAATGTTGTTTAACACACGACGCCAAAACTGGGCTAAATATTGCTAAGCCGCTGCACAAGAGCCACAAGCCATGGGTACCCCCACACAAGCGGCAATCAAAAAATAAGGTAATAACCAGTGAGTTACACAAGTTACATCTCATCAAGTATAGAAATATCTAGTAGTATAGCTCTCAAAAGATATTTCAACGGTAATCAGATCTAGATTAAATAATACCTAAAGACTATCTAAACAAACTGAAATATTTATAAATAAGATAAATAAAAATTTTAAAAGCCTAAACCAATTAACCTATTTAGAACGCTTTTGGTCATTTATAAACGAACTCTGTCCTAGAGACTGAGGTTTTATTATAAAATAAATGGCCTCAAGTTGCCATGACCTTTTGTCACAGTTGGCTACACTTAAGACTTTTGACGCGGTAAAGTTTTGAATCAGCCCTAAGTAATGTTTATCGCTAGCAACTCCGACAGCTGAAACATATTTCGACGTAGTGATTTATAAAAACTATTTTAAACCCAGCTTAGTCCAAAATACTTGAAAGTAAGCCTCTTTGAGTATTTAACCTAAGAAAAGGTTCGTTAGAACTTGCTTAAAAAAAAGAATTAAGCGAACAGGTGACACATGGTGATTTCTTAAACAAAACTTATTTATTTGCACACTAATGTATAGTGAGTAAAAACCAAAACTGCAGCCAAAAAAGTATCCGTAACATGGCTAAGCCACTCTGCAGGTTTTCTTAAGCAATAGAAGCACAAAACGGAATTTCCCGCATCTTTCATTCTCCTTAGATTGGAATTCACTAAAGTTCTAGGAATGTGAAAACAGGGCTGGTGATTCAGTGAGCGCTCGTAACCGAATCTGAGCTCATATCCTTGGCACCAGTGCAAATTTTAAACTTATTCTATTTTAAACCAACACTATACTATATAAATTATATAACGTATAACTATACAACGTGTAATTATACTATACACTATAAAGTATACAACGTGTAACTATAGAACGCGTAACTGTAACTATACAACTTATGGAGCCACACGACGCCAAAACTGGGCTAAATATTGCTAAGCCGCTGCACAAGAGCCACAAGCCATGGGTACCCCCACACAAGCGGCAATCAAAAAATAAGGTAATAACCAGTGAGTTACACAAGTTACATCTCATCAAGTATAGAAATATCTAGTAGTATAGCTCTCAAAAGATATTTCAACGGTAATCAGATCTAGATTAAATAATACCTAAAGACTATCTAAACAAACTGAAATAATTATAAATAAGATAAATAAAAATTTTAAAAGCCTAAACCAATTAACCTATTTAGATAATATATAATCATAGTTTTATATATATATATATATATATATATATATATATATATATATATATATATATATATATATATATATATATATATATATATATATATATATATATATATATATAGGCCCTATATATATATATATATATATATATATATATATATATATATATATATATATATATATATATATATATATATATATATATATATATATATATAATATAAATATGCTTATGTATATGTAATATGTATATACATATATGTATATACATATATGTTTATATATATGAGTATGTATATTTATATATACATGTAGATATATATGCATGTATATATATATAAATATATATATATATATATATATATATATATATATATATATATATATATATATATATATATATATATATATATATATATATATGCTTATATATAAGTCATTTATATATGTATAAATATATGTATACACATATATGTATATATATGCAAGTATATGTGTATATAAGTGCCTACTATTGTTACCATTATTGAATAAATTGAATAAACTGAAATTGAATATATATATATATATATATATATATATATATATATATATATATATATATATATATATATATATATATATATATATATATATATATATATTTAATTTCAGTTTATTCAATTTATTAGCCAAACTACATTAAGTCTATAAAATATTGTATGTATTTAAATTATTCTAAAAACTACAAATCTCTTTATTTATTTAAGTCTTTATTAATATTTTATCCAGAACTCAGCACAACTTAGTCAACAAAAGTCTGGAGATTTAAAAATTCCACAGCAAATTATTGAAAGTAATTCTTCTTGCGATGACATTAAACCTTTGCATCAAAGTGTAAATCCCTGGAAACCAACTTGGAAGATGCTGTTATCTGGTGAAATGTTAAGAAAGGTAACATTTGCATGTTTAAATTTTCCTTGCTATAGGACTACTTGTAATAGAACTTTTCTGGACATTTTAACAAGTTTTATTTTTCTAGCGTAAATCACTTGAAGCTGAGATACTGTTTATCATGAATCGACTTACCCCAACAAACTTTGAGCGCTTGGCTGTGGAAATGAGGAGTCTAAATATTACAACTTATGAGGATTTGCAAGAGCTGGTTAAAATATTTTTTGACAAGGTTTGTTCTCATTACTTTTTATTAGTTTTTTAATTATTTCTGCTGATCAAAGATATTCTCATTTTCATACTAATAGTGATATTCACATGGGAAAAATTGCATATGAATAATAAATAAGTTGATAAACGCATGATCTTTTTTGCTGTAGGCATTCTCTAGCGAGCAATATTCTAACACATAAAATTAACCTATATTTATATTTTTAGGTAACAACTGAGACAAAATTTGTTGAACCCTATGCACTGCTTTGCAAAATTATGGCACCGGTAAGCAAGTTTAGTTTTTTTTTATCTTATCTAGCATAACTTAAGATAATATTGAGCATAATGTAGTTTGTTTCCATTAAAATAACCTGTAAGTTCCACATTTCAGCTTAAAGTACCCCCTCCAGCAAATATGAAAGAAAACCAATCTACTTTTCGAGTGGTTATATTAACCAAATGCCAGCAGGAATTTGAAGCTGATAAGGCTGTTGTGTTTGAGGATCCGGAAGAGAAGAAGAAGAAAATTGAATCAGAAATACCTGAAGGGGTATGTACTTTTAATGCCTGGTATTTGATTTTTTATAGAGTGGTTGAATGATAAAAGTGTGGTTACTGTTAAATTTCTGGGCTTGTATCCATTATGGCATACTCAAATCTAACTGCACTGATTGTTAATTTGTCAAACAACCCCTTCATATGCAAAGTTTACAATGTCTGTTTTTGCTTTATTTAAATTAACTATTAAGTTACACAGATTTTCAATGTTATGAACGACAGTAAACTCCATAAATAGTTTTGCAAATACATTTTCTAAATTTATTATACAAACAGCCTGAAAGAACAGTGTAATAGATTGAGATAATTGTATTGGTATTATATTTATATTGTTATCTTGAGTGATGTCCCTTACTTGTGTCTCTCGTCACTTCCGTTTGGCCGGTTAACAATAAAAGCTGTTTACATGTTAAGGGCTTCTGTCTCCGTTGTGTAATTCTTAATCTATCTCATTGACGACGAAGGATAAACATCTACTAGAAAGAGCACCTACTTACGCAAAAAAGAGGTTTGCTAGAGCTTATTAGCTAATTATTTCTAGAATTATGGCGCTGTATGGCCAAATGAAAGAATTTGATGCGAATGATGAAATCATTCAAGATTACCTAGAGAGGTTAAGCTTTTACCTAGAAGCAAACGACGTGACGATAGAAGCCAAAAAGAGAGCTGTTTTGTTAACAGTCATAGGGCCTCAACAATTTAGGCTACTAAAGGACTTATGCGCACCAGCTAGTCCAGATACCAAGAGCTTTAACGAGCTGAGCAAATTGCTAACAGACCACCATGCGCCTACCCCATCAAAGTTTCTATGTCGAGCTAGATTTGACAGTAGGACTCGTCAACCAAACGAGTCAATATCAGAATATGTTGCTGCTTTACGTCATTTAAGTGAATTTTGTGAATTCGGAGACACGCTGTCTGACAGATTATGTGAAAAGTTTGTGACAGGTGTAAACAGCCCTGATATTCAAAGAAAGTTGCTGCTCGAGTCAGATCTAAAATTGGAAAAAGCAATACAACTTGCAACTTCATTCCAGCAGTCATCTGATGCGGCGAGATCTTTAGCACCTTCAGAGATCCATGCAGTAAACAGCAGGTTAGTCAATAAACATCAACCCCATCAGAGCATTCCAACTTATGCTAAACAGCCTGCTCGTTCAAATCCTAGATCTAAATCTAGTAATAATTATCAAAAATGTCATCGATGCAAGGGTCCCCATGCATCTCATCGGTGCAAGTTCAAGTTAGCAACTTGTTATAAGTGCGGTAAGCAAGGTCACATTGCTAAGGCCTGCTTCGCAAAGTCTTCGTCTGTTGCTAAATCTAGCCAGTCAAGACAGTACCGCAACCAAAGGCAGCACTATGTTAACTCTCACCAAGACTACCTAACCCAACCAATGAACCACTCTACCTGTGAAAATGCTCAAACTGATTCGCAGCCGGATTTCAACCTGTTCTCTGTGAAATCAATAAGTCATGCTCCCATCAATGTACAAGTTAATATTAACGGTAAGAGCATCAGCTTCCAACTTGACACTGGAGCATCTCTAACAGTCATAACAAAGAAAGATTTTGACGCTGTCACAGGAGGATCAGTGTCTCTACAGCCATGTCACAAGTGTCTAACAACATACACTGGTGACAATGTTCCGGTAATAGGAGAGTGTATGGTTCATGTAAGTTATAATGGTCAAAGTGTTAAACTTCCTCTTCTTGTGGTTGAAGGAAATGGACCGCCATTACTAGGTAGGAACTGGTTAAGTGATCTTAAGTTAAATTGGGAGAGTATTTGTTCATTGAAGAATGTAAAAGAATCTAGTCTTACTTCACTAGATAGAGTTATATCTGAAAATAAATGTGTTTTTGGTAATCCAGGATTACTAAATGATAGAACAGTGAAGTTAAGCATTAAAGACACAAATCCAAGATACTGCAAAGCTAGAGTTCCACCTTATGCAATGAGGAATAAAATTGAAAATGAGCTAAGTAGATTGGAATCTAATGGCATTATAAAGAAGGTAGACTATTCCGATTGGGCGACACCCATTGTGCCAGTGTTAAAGAAGGATGGTTCTATAAGAATTTGTGGAGATTATAAAACTACACTGAATAAGCAAATAGAGCTAAATAGGTACCCTATACCTAACATTGAGGAAATTTCTTTGAATTTGGCAGGAGGAGACAAATTCACTGAATTAGACTTTAGTCATGCTTACACTCAACTAGAACTGCATCCAGATTCAAAAGTCTATACGACAATAAACACACATAAAGGACTCTACCAATATGAAAGACTATGTTTTGGCATATCATCTAGCCCTGGAATTTTCCAAGCTGTCATGGACAGTATTTTTAAAGATATTCCAAATGTTTGTGTGTACTTTGACAATGTGTACATAACTGGTAAGAATGACACTGAACATCTTAAAACACTTGATAAAGTATTGAAAATTGTTGGTGAAAAAGGTTTAAAGATAAACAAAGATAAATGTCAATTCATGCTGACAGAAATTAGTTTTCTTGGTTATATATTGAGCAAACAAGGCATCAGACCTCAACTTGAGAAAACAAAAGCTATTAAAGAAGCACCCAAACCTGAAAATACCCAACAACTAAGAGCTTTTTTGGGCTTGATAAATTACTATGCAAAGTTCATAGGAAATCTGTCTGGTAAACTATCACCACTGTACAAGCTGCTACAGAAAAATGCAACTTGGCACTGGGGTAAACAACAAGAAGCTGCTTTTAATACAGCAAAAGAGGCTTTGTCTGCTGACACCTTACTAACTCACTATGACCCAGGGAAAAGACTTATATTAACATGTGATGCTTCACCAGATGGTGTAGGAGCAGTCTTGTCCCACATGGATGAGAAGGGTGACAGACCCATTGCTTTTGCAAGTAGATCTTTGAACCAGGCTGAGAAAAATTATTCTCAGTTAGATAGGCAAGGCTTAGGCATCATTTTTGGTGTTAAGAAATTTCATAAGTTTCTGTTTGGTAGGAAGTTCACCATCTTTACAGATCATAAACCATTGCTAGGTTTATTTGGAGAAAACAAAAACCTACCTGAGCATGCCTCACCAAGAATTCAAAGATGGGCTATCACATTAACTGCATATAATTATGAATTGAAATACAAACCTGGATCTGAGAATAGTGTAGATAGTCTTAGTAGATTACCTTTAAAAAACCAAAGCCTGAGCTATGTACCAGAAGATGTATTTGTTCTCTTCACTATCATGGATAACTCCAATATAAATGTGAATGATATTAAAAGAGAAACACAAAAAGATGAGTGCTTAATAAAAGTATATGAGTACTGTATGAATGGTTGGCCTGAAGAGTCTGTGAATGATGACTTAAGGCCATATAAAATAAGAAATTAAAACCCTTTGTGAAGATAATATAAAAGATGGAGAAGATGCAGTCCATTATCAGTCAGAGTTGCCTAAACAAAGTATTTGTAACTTAATAAATGATTATGGTGATATGGCAATTTCAAATGTTTTAAAGAGAATACATTAGTAAGAAGGAATGTGATCATCAAACAACTTTGCTAACATCATTAGCACTTACAGAAACTAAAAGAAACTAAAAGGGTAACATCAAAGGTAAATACCAAACAGAAGAACCTAAAGGTGACAATGAAAGAGTAAACAGGTTATTGGCCAAATACCGCACAACTTCTCATATAACAACAGATGTTGCACCATGTGAATTGCTATGTGGTAGGAAAATTAAAACTCATCTTGACCTACTACATCCAACTGTTCAAAGGTCTGTTTCCCAACAACATACACAAAAAGTAAATCATGACAAATCATCCATTGAAAGAGAATTTGCAGTTAATGATAATGTGTATCTAAGAAATTATGGGAGAAAGGAAAAATGGATACCAGGTCAAATAGTTCAATGTACAGGACCGGTGTCTTATAAAGTAAAAACAAATGATGGACTTATTGTCCGTAGACATGCAGACCAGTTGAAAATAACTTGTGCAGATAATAAGTGTGAATCTGTCAATCCCACCAAATCTGATCAGTTCACACCAACTCAGTTTGTTTCACAACCAAGTTCTGTTGATATGAGTGAACCAAGTTGTCTGGAGTCAGAAAATGTAAATTCTGGAGTTAATGATTTAAATCCTAGACCTCCTGAGATAGAGAATCCAGATGGTCAGAATCTTGAGTCACCAAATCAAAGGCCACTGAGAAGGTCAAGCAGGACAATCAAAGTCCCAAATAAGTTAGACCTATGATTTTAAAGGTCAAGAGGACTTTGACATTATTGTTTTGTATCTTGATTATGTTGTGGCATATTGTGCATTGTTTGTAAGGATGTAATCTACCATAGTGTTCATGTTACAATATAATTGGTGATTTTAGGATACTATCAATTGTTCTATTGAGAGATGTGTTATTGTGTTCTAAGGGTAAAGGGATGTAATAGATTGAGATAATTGTATTGGTATTATATTTATATTGTTATCTTGAGTGATGTCCCTTACTTGTGTCTCTCGTCACTTCCGTTTGGCCGGTTAACAATAAAAGCTGTTTACATGTTAAGGGCTTCTGTCTCCGTTGTGTAATTCTTAATCTACCTCAAACAGAGTGCATTGAGAATACCCTGTATCAGATGAAGATGAAGAGGCTCAAATTTTATGGAAACATCAGGTAACAATGAATACCAAAAAATATAAAATTCTTAAGCCACCCAGGTCACATCTTTTCATATCATACAAACTAGGTCATACTTTCCCCACCTTCCAGAATTTGATAACAAGATCTAATATACCTTTAAAACCAATTTTTTTTTTTTAATGTTGTACCCAGTCAGTATAAGGCCCAAAAATTTTGTGAACACCCCATTTTTTATTATCTTAGACGAGAAAACATTAACCTTGACATTTACTGTGAGCTATATTATCTAGAAGCTATTTTTAGTATAACCTTTAAGCTAGCTGTTAATTGATTCAAGTTTTGCCACTTCGTCAGTTCATCCAAAGTAGTTTAAAAGGAGAAACTAATTAAATTTCCTGAAAATAAAATCAAAAAGACAACAGAAAGCAGAGCCGGCGTTAGGGGGTGGCAAACGGGGCGGTCGCCGCAGGCCCCGCGCTTGAAGGGGCCCCGCGCTTCAGCAGCGCCATTGTTGCCTGAATTAGTTTGTAAACTTAAATAATCTTTGCTGAATTAAATTAAAAAAAACAACCCAACTAAATGGCCGAAATTGTTGGATGTTAAAACAGAGGCCACGGCTGATGTTAGTGAGTTATCCTCTACATGGACTGGGACAGACCGTTATTCTAAAGAAAGACATAAGTGTCACACATCGCTGGCAAGGTCGACTCGCTATTGTCCGGAGGTGACTGGAGATGGCGGTCGCGAATTAGCCCCCGACCTGACATGGGAGGTAAAATCGAGAAAAACGTAAAAAGATACCCTATTGTTTGCGGACCGTGGAAGAAGTTTTTTTTTTTTAGTGAGCAGGCGGGGGTGCCTGTAGTAAACAGTCAGTGACCTGATGATGGCTTGCAGAGGAGGAGGGGGAGGGGGGAGGGGAGCGGATGGGGACATGCCCCGGAAATCCAGAGTATTTATCCCTAAAATCACAATTTATACACGGTATGGGCATCTTTTGTGTACTTATAGGCATCCATACAGTAATTATGTTCATATTTATTTTATATATAGTCAGGTCATCTTTAAATACAATATACTTGTATTTATTTTTATATTTTTGAAGGGCATTTATACAGTAATTATGTCCATTTTCATTTTGGTAAACTTTAACGGTATTCGTAAAGTGATTAAGCACATGTTTATTTTAATTAATTGTAGGGACAGTGGCGTAGCGAGGTCGGGTGTCACCCGGTGCGGCACTTAATGGTGTCACCCCCCCCCCCCCCAGAGGCGTAGCGACCCTTCCCAGGAAAAAACTTTCAAACTTTCGATTTGCACCCCCCCCCCCTCAAGTTTTCGATTTGCACACCCCCCCACCTCAAACTTTCGATTTGCCCCCCCCCCCCTCAAGTTTTTCTCTATATATTTTGCTATTTTTTGCCTTGGTGTCGACCCCCTAAATGGTGTCACCCGGTGCGATCCGCACCCCCGCCCCACCCCCCCCCCCCCCTCGCTACGCCTCTGTTTAGGGATATTCAGTATAATAGTTAAGGCCATAGTGATTCTTGTTTTAAAATAGTGTAGGCACACTAAACAAATTATAAAGTCTATACTGTTTGATATATCGGGCTGAGACTGTTTTATGGTAAAGTTCTCCTGATTTCTCAAACGTCTAAATTACCGGCAGTCCGAGCATGCCATCGCGAAACTCATAAATAACACGAAGCACATGGTTCACTTTTTATAGACACGGACCTTCTCTTGTGAGAACGCGGTCTTAATCTGTAATGTAATACGTGGACGCTCTATAAACACGCACCTTCTCTTGAATGGCTGCGGTCAGAGATCCAGTAACGTAGTACCCGAACTGATTTTTTTTTAGGGTTTGGCATCCCATAGATTTAAATGTACAGTTATCCTTCACGGGCTTCACCTCACCCCACCAACTGTCACCCCCCCCCCCCCCAGTGTTCCACCTTACTGAGCGTCCGTGATTACATTTGAGAGTCATTTCATTTGGATATCTATAGCTGTAAACAGTGTTTTTCACGATTCGAGCTTATTCCGAAATCTATCAATGTTTTGCTATTTTTCCCGGCATCCACACACTTTGAATGCCACTGTTGAGAGTACCAGATGAAAGCACGTTATCGGGTGAAGATGAGTTTAGAACAGAGTATTTCTTATGTATAATGGATCAAGCAATTATTGGCATGAACACTCGATTTGAACAACTACGACAATACGATTCACTCTTTGGGTTTCTCTACAACATAAACACAATGAGAAAATTAAATAATGAGGATTTGTTAAAAAGTTGCATCAATCTTGATATAGCGTTGCGATCGGTGAGCTCACGTGACTTAAACGGGGCAGATTTGTGTACAGAGCTCACAATGTTTCGAGAAATTTTGCCCGAAGGTATTAAGTCAGCCAAACAGTGCCTTCAGTACATTTGGAGTATTCGGGATTCCTTTCCCAATACGGCGATCGCCTACAGAATCTTGCTAACAGTTCCAGTCACAGTTGCAAGCGTCGAAAGAAGTTTCTCCAAACTGAAGCTGATCAAGAACTATTTGAGATCAACGATGTCCCAAAACAGGCTTTGCGGCCTGTCGATTCTGTCAATAGAAAAAGACATAGCCTCCAGTTTGGACTATGATGATATAATCATGGAATTTTCCTCACGAAAGGCAAGAAAAGTAGATCTTCGTTTGTGAACGTACTGGTAAGATTTTCAACATTAATATAAAAAAATCAGGTTTGAAGCTGACGTTCATCGTCACTTTGATGCGTGTCTCAAACTTATATCTGTTTTATTTTTTACTTTTCAAACAAAAAGCCTTAACAGAAACAAGCAACGTTTCGAAAGCACTTCTAAGTAAACAAATTATTTGTTAATCAGTGTCTTAATGTTAATACGACATTGATAAACAGCTTAAAAATACATATATATCGTTAAAAATATTAATTAGCGTTGAGAAGGAAAAAAAACGCCTCACTGTACATGTTTTATTTAATTATACACCAATGAAAAAAATTTAAGGCCCCGCGCGGATGGTTGGCCATAGGCCCCGCGTACCCCTAACGCCGGCTCTGACAGAAAGTGTTCATAATTGAACACGACAAGCCAAGCTCTGTGGTTTCACATTTCGCATAAAACATCCAGTTAAAGTAGCTACAGGCTGGAAACCGGCAAGTGATTGCAGCATTGATATTTGTGCACTTTAGAACTTTTTGTTTTATTTTAAAATTTTTCTAAACATAAACAATTTTCTATTTATAGGTTTATTGGAGAACTTTTCAAATTGGGGATGTTGACTGAAAATATTATGCATGATTGCATCTACCGTCTGCTTAAAGCATGTGATGATGATTCCTTAGTATCTCTGTGTATTCTTCTTACTACTGTTGGGCAATTACTTGACACAGACAAAGCTAAGGTAAATATTCTTAAATTAATTAATAACAGTGAAAGCAATTTACTTTTAAAATGTCTAGATCTAAACAAGCAAATGGTTATTAAACATTATTTTCCCTCTCTTAAGACACGGATGGGCCAGTATTTTGCACAGATGTCCAAAATCGCAGAGGAGCGAAAATCAAAAGTTAAATTCCTTCTTAAAGATGCCATAGATTTAAGAAAAGTGGGTTTGTTTTTTTTCCTGTTAATACATTAAATGCTGAAGCTGGTTGATTACTAGAAGAAAATTGTTTTAAAATAAAAATGTGCATTATTTAGAAAAAAAAATTAGACCAACTGTTTTATTGTGTTATTTAAAACATAAAATATGTAATACAATTTTTGTTTTATTTGTTTGTTTATAGTTTATTTTTCTATACATTAATGAATGACATTCTAATGTTCTTAACAAACTTTAATAAGGCTGAATCATTGCTGCATTTTTGCTTTTGTTTCTCCTATAGTTCTAACTTTTTTAAATTATAAGGTTTTTTAGAAAATATAACAATAATTAGGAAAATCTCATGTAATAATGCATTCAAATAATATTATCTTGTCTTAAAAAAAGTAATGGGTTTAACAGAATTCCTAAATAATTATGTGTTCTTAAAATTATAATCATTTTTATCCACTAAAAAGAACAACTGGATTCAACATCATACATGCGAATCAGACTCATTAAAAATTGATGTGAATCATAAAGTTTTTAAAAAAGAACAGTTTAAAAAGCAAGTGATGCAATCACAACTACCGCCAAGAAATGACAAATTTCAATCAAACATCAGACATGAAAGTAGACGTAAGATTACATATTTTTTTGTATCTGAAAATTATATTAATACTGTTACATTAGTGATTAGATTTAGGCCCTAGATGATATAGAAATGAAAGCAATTAACAATTTTCTAAAGATTGTGATGAATAAACTAATTTGTCTTACAAATAGATGACCCAGCCATAAATAATACCAGCACAACAGATGTGTTGGCCTACAATGCAGAAGTCCAAAAATTAATTGAGGCTGATTAAGATTTTATAAAGATTAATAATATTCAAACAATGCAATCCCAACAACAATAATTTCCTGTTGGCATGTACTATGCATGTAAATAGTAACATAGGCTCTCATGTTAAGTTTTTATAGTAAAGAAAAAAATCTTCACAAGATAATAAAGACTTATATACCTACATCTAAATACAAATTACAGGTAAATATATTAATATATTGTAGGCCTACCTAAAGATCTGCCTCGTGATGAAGTTGAAATCATAGCAAAAATGATTTTTAAGGAATTCCTAGGAACTGGAGATTTAGATGTGAGTATGCTTTCATATTCAAATTCATAAATGACATAACACCCCCAGTAGGGATGGGATTCATACTTTGTGATAGTGTGCGATAAAGGAGAGAGGCTCATAAGTGTGACACTTTTGCATTTTAAAAAGGAGTTTTTTTATATTGAATTTTAGCAGTAATTTCAATTTTTTTTAAATACATTTTTATAATAGGTTACAAGTTAGTCAATATTTCAAATGCTGACCAAACTTAGTTAATATTCTAGACAAATATTTTGTTTGAAAAGAAAAAGAATTGCAATTTTCAAGGAGGAGTCGGCAGGTCTAGTGTGATGCCATTTAGGGATGTCCAACTTTTTGTTAAGTTATTTATGGATTTGTCAAATATATTATAATAGTTTAGGGTTAAAGATCTAACTAGGGCTGGGTTTCAGTTACAAGTCTGAATTAGTGTTTACATAATAATGTAAGTATACTTTTAAGTTGCATATACTCCAAGGTCATCATTATAAAATAAATTTACAAGTCATTTTTTTTTAATTGATGAAGCACCTTCTCAGATAAAACAAAGTTATGAAAAGGTGAATACTTGGCTTAAATGCCTACATGAGAGTATATGTGTTTATTTACAAAAGAGGTTCAATAAATGTGATAATTTACTTGACTATAATTTTGGTTTTATAACTGCTTTTTCTTATGTATTGATTTCTTAATTTTTCCTACATATATAATATACAGATTAAAAAACCTTAGACATATAACTTTTTAAAATTAGAAATATTATGAGTAATTTTCTTAAAATCATTTTTCTAAATTGATATTTGATAGTGTATCATTATAACTGTGCTATATCATTTTCACAGAAGGCAAAAACAAGCGTGAAAGAATTGGAAGGCCAAACTTACCTTGAAGTGTTGGTTAGTTCTTGTATAAATGATGTTCTTGAAAAGTCAAAGAAAGAGCGTGATATAACAGGACAGTTTTTCCATGAAATGGTTAAAAATAACCTCATACCCTGTGTTGCATATTTCAAAGGGTAAGTATCTACATTATTTAATATACTTACTTTCTGTTTATATTCTATTTGATATGATGTAATCCATTTGTCAGGTATTAATAGAATTTTTTTTTTCAGCTTGTCTGAAATTTTGCAATTTGCTGAAGACATGGTGATAGATATTCCAATGATTTGGACTTATTTGGCTCAGTTAATAGTCCCTGTTCTAATTGGTGGTTCAGTGCCTTGGTCTGACCTGATACAAGTACTTCAAACTAGCCTTGAAAAAAGTTGCTGCTTAAAACTTTTGACAGAAATTTTATTACATGCCAAAATTATTACTGTAAGTCATTATGTTTTGAGAAATGTTATATTTATCTTTTTGTCATTCAGAATGTTATTGTTTTGTCAGAAATGTTTCAAAACTTTTTTTGATAATTAGTTTTTTATATTAATTCAACTAATCTTGTGTTTACAGAGCGAAGCTGATGTGGCTAGAATGTGGCAGAGCAGCAACCTTGAATGGTCTCAATTTGTAGATCCGCCCAATGTAACCAAATTTCTTGAAGACAAAGAGCTACAAATCACAATATCCCCTGTGAATGAAAGTCAGTTGACTGCTCCAACATCTTTAGGGGAATAGTTGCAAAGACATGTGCTTTAAGTTTCCAAACAGTGAATATAATAAACCACTACTATGTTTACAGATTATATTTATAAATACATACATGCACACACACACACACACACACACATATGTGTATATATATATTACATATATAATATATGTATGTATATACACATACACATATATATAAAAACACATACACATATGATTTTAATCCCTTACACATTACATTAGTAGGGTGATAAATAGTATAATCATTAATGAAGGAGGGAGGGGTATCCTCTAGAAAATGATTTTTTATTAAAACTTATTTATCTAGTTATGATTCTAATTGTGCAAGCTGCTTTTTTTTAGGGGATGGCATGGTTGGGTGGTTACTTGAATGCTAATCAGAAAGTAATGAGTTTGGATCTCCTATTCCAGTCTGTACTTGACTTACCTAGTCCTCTTTGCTCCTTATGGAATATAGGGCCTCCGGCATTTCCTTCCATTTTGTCCTATACCAGGCTATTAATTTTGCAATTTTCTGTTGGCTTCAGTTCTTCAAAAAGACTCCGCCTCCAGGTCTGTCTTGGGTGCCCTCTCTTCTGCTTTCTCCGGGGATTCCACTCAAGCGCCTGGCATGTCACATTTGCGTGAGCCTTTTGAAGCATGTCCCCACCCAGTGCCACTTCCTCCTTCTTATTTGCAGTGTCATGGGCTCCTGCCTTGTCTTTCTCAATTCCAGACTGTAGGGTGTCCCTTATTCCACCCAGATCTGATGGGTACCTGACTCATTTTAGGAAAAGTCAAGGCAACTGGGCATAGTGCTGACCCGATTATCCCTTCAAATGCTGAGGTCACAGAAATAGGTGAAACCTGCTTCATCAGTGCCATAAATTGCCAAGCTCAATAGTCTACCTACTTTTTATTTAATCATTTGCTTTCATATGATGACTAAGAATTGTTAATCAATCACTTTCTTACCTCTTTGTGTAGCTGATCATTTGTTTAGATGAAAGGGGTGACTAACACTCATAATGTGTTGCCAATCAATACTAAACTAAAGCCCAAGGTAAAAAACTGTAAATTAACATCAGTCTCTAGAAACAACTGGTTCATTTTTATTTCTTCAGTTTCAAAGTTATTGGTCTGGTCCCAATATACATGACTGATCCAATGATCACTGTCTTCCTTTTTATTTAACCAAAGCTTAGTAAGCTAAACTGTTATTTTTGTGAAATTGTATCCATATTGAACTTGCATTTATCCTCTAATACAATTGCTATTTTAATTATTTTAATAGCAATAAAATTTATTATAATCTAATTCTAATAGTTACTTTTTTTTAGTATACTTCATGTGGTCAAATGTTTTTTTAAGTCTTGAATTTGAAACCAGGAACAGTCCACTATACATCTTAGAGTCCACTCAGCTTTGATGGGTACCTGTTAGGGAAAGTAAATCGGGCAGTGATGACCGTACTATCCCTTCATATTTTGGGGTCACAGAAACAGACAGTTCATTATAGAATTAACTAACTTGTAGTTATGAAGCAATGTTTCAACTCATTTTGTGTGGAATGTTAGAGCTTTTAAAAGTGAGTTATTTGATATCAGAAAGGTTTTATGTTGTCACTTCATGAGCTGAGTATGACTGGCCAGTTTGCATTGTGACAGAAAGATAGGTTCAGAATTATTCAACACCAAATAGTTGAAATACTTCCTACTTGGATTATGTCCACAATAAAAAAAAAATTCTCAAGTGTTTAAATAGTCAAATTCTCTTTCCATTTCAAAATTTAGCAGGCAATGAGTTTTTCTTGTGGAGTTCATAAATTCAAAAAAAAAACAACCAAAAATAAGACCACAAAAGCATCCCCTGTAAAAAAAATAATGAAGCTTTTTGTAAGTTTAGTTTTTTTTAATAAGTTTTTTTTTTCATTTTTTTTCTCGAAAATCAATTTAAAATGTATTTACAAAATGAAGAAAGTACAATTGCATATAATTATGCATGATTATATAGTCCAGGACAGCACAATTCATTTGAACTTCATTCTATTGGTCAATCTTGCTCCAGCAGGCATTGCTCATACTTTTATGTAAAAACATGACTGCTAAAACTGTGCAATTCTGGTAGCTTAAAAATGACCGGAAAACATTTTTTATTCCCCTCCCTTGTTATCTAGTAGGTAACTAAAACAAATATCAAAGAAAAACAATCCCAGAAAAGATATGTATAAAACAAATTGACGAAATTTTTTTTTTTACATTTAAACAAACATTTTGATCAGAGTGGAGATTTCATTACAAATGAATGATAGCTCACTCCCATCAAGACCAATGGCTATTATTTAACTGTTTATTTTAATACTAACATCTATGAAATACATGTGAAAGGGAGAGCAGGCAATCAATCATAAAAAGGGTAGATTAAATCCCCTCCACCAGTGCATGTAATATAGAAGTCATTCAACCATGGGTAGCCAGACCTCTTACATACCATAAGCAAATAGAATGTCAATGTAGGTTATGTATGCATTTGTCATACCACATCAAAGAAAAAAATTTGTTTTTAAACACTTTATATTACAGTTCATAAATAACTATGTACACTTTTATAAGCATGACCACAAAATTCTTGTCAAAAAGAAAATAGCTTTCATGTGCAATTATTGGTTGTAGATGTACATATCTATTTCTGAAAGATTCATGCAATCTTACAGAAAATCTTTACTGCAAATAAAGCTTTAAAGAAAAGTTACAGCTTAAAAGCATCTTCTACGGACAGCAACAGAAACAAAAATCAAACACTGAATGTTTCATTCATACTCTTAATCTATTAACACACTGTTCATGTATGTCAAGTATTACATGCACATGACTTAAAAATAACCATCACCTAAAATGACAGATGATACCCTTAGAGAAATATTTCCTGGAATTGAGTTAAGGCAAGTGAAGTAAAAAACCCATCTTGGCATAAAACATCAAAACAATGCTTCAAAAAAAAGTGCTAGTCCCTAGAAATGTGAAGTTAATTTGAAAGGCTTGCGACATGGAAGATGTCAGTTTTGACCAGTTATTTGGTAAATGGTTTATCAAGGTTTTCAAAAATGTAAGCAATTACTTGTAATAAAGTTTTCACCTATTTCGTACATTTCTAGCACAGCACAATACAGTAACTTCAATGTTTCTCCAAAATATGGAAAAAATAGTGGCAACTGCTGACCATACTAAGCTTGATAATTTTATGTGAGCCCTGAAGTTATAGGCAACATTGGCTTTTTATGAATAAAATACTGTATAAACCATTAAGAAAAATATGTCAAAGTTTGTTTCAGTTATTCTGAAGTACAAAATTTTCTGCCATGTGGGAATTTATAACAAAAAATAAAAATGTTTCTTTGAAAAATAGTGAACTCAATGTGATACAAATTACAAACAAGCAGGATGGCATACTGCATTTAACATTTAAAAAATAAACACTAATATACCAAACCCATTGTCTCCAGTTGCTTCCATTTTAATTATTGTAGCTGAATAATTTGCCATTTGTGTTAGAATACGATTAAATAGTTAAAATTAATTCTGATTTTACTGTATTTTATTTTTAGAAAGCTGAATAAAAATGAACAGCAGGGATTTTTATTGTTAATAAAGAAATCAACATAATTCACTTTCACATTTAAAAATCTCTGCCATCAAATTTTCATGTTTCTGAAAAACATTTGACCAATAACATATCCATAAGTGCTTATTTCAAACGGATGAAAATAAGTCAGATGAAAGTGAAACATGCATAAAAGTTGCTTTAAAACTATTTACATCACTTAGGAATATTTTTACAGTCTCTGAAAGTTAAATAAATTAGTCCTACCCAAGCCAATGTAAACCACTTCTCTTCCTCAACAGTGTTAAGTCAGTTAACTATGGCCAGCATATAGTGACTTTTGAAGTGACAGCAATAAATATAAATACTTTTCTTCTGTTTAACACTCAATTATCAATATATGTAACTTTGGATTGGGTAGGACAGGGTATGAAAGTAACAATGTTTTTATATTGGCAAGTAAAGAATATTATACAGTCTTGCATGTACTATATCTCATTTCCTATATTCACAGACATCTTATTCAAATTGAAAAGACGAACAGTATTACTAGTCAATAAGCTAACTAAAGTTAAACTAGTTTCAAGATGGGGTGTCAGCTTCAGGGTCTTCATTTTCTCTTAACCATGTGAAGAACTGTGTCAGTTGCATTGAACAGGCCCCTTTTCCCTCAGCTTCTGAAGGATCTGTACTTATTTCCCAACTCTTAAATGTTTCTTCACTTATCACATCCTCATCATACAGAACATTAAACAGTGAAAATATGACACCTGTGAAATATAAAGATACATTAGCGTACAAGAAACAGCCTTATTTAGTAACCTTAAACTTTGCAAGGAAAATAAAGATTTATTCTATACACTAGACAAAATAATGAGTGAATTTTTAAACAAGACTGATAGTAGTGTAAAATTTTTTTTTTTTTTTACCTGAAGGGTGCTCTAATTTATGCATTAGAGCCTGAATAGCATAAAGGGCCTGAAGTTCCATTTGAGGGGTCTTAATATATTGTTGTAAAATGTCTTTACGGGCTTTAATTACATCCTCATTTGTTTTCATTGCACCTGGAAAATATTTATTGGTAAAAATAAGCAATTAAATTAATTTAAACTGTCAATACAAATTATTTTCTTCAAAGAAAGCCATGCAACTATTTTCGCACCTGTTATAGAGGAACCGGCTACAGCAGACATAAGTCCTCTTATAAACTCACTGTTTCTTTTACTTTCAGGTAAAACTTCCTGTAGAATCAATAATTAAAGACATCATTAAGAAATTGAATGAAAGTGCCTAAGTTGACATGAATATTTAGCCTTAAATGAAAGTGCCTAAGATGACATGAATATTAAGCCTTAAATGAAACTGCCTAAGTTAACATGACTATTTAGCGATTAATAATATTTACAAGAAAAAAATTATACAAGTATAAAACCTCAGGACAACTTATTTTTTTAAAAATGACTTTTCATGAGCTAGCAAAAACACTCACATTAATATATTTTTTAATAGCATCATTGTGTTCATTTTCTTTCAACATTTTCTCAACTTGAGAGATCACTCTAGCAACATCAGATATTCCTGATGTTGGAACAGTCAACTGACTTTCATTCACTGGGGCTATTGTGAATTGTAGCTTTTTGTCTTCAAGGAATTTGGTTACATTGGACTGATCTACAAATTGAGACCATTCAAGGTTGCTGCTCTGCCACATTCTGGCCACATCAGCTTCGCTCTGTAAACACAGGATTAGTTGAATTAATATCAAAAGCTAATTGAAAGTATCCAAAAAAAAAGCATTCACAATACTTCAGACACAACAATAAAATTCATATGATAAAAAGATAAATATAACAATTATCCAAAAGTAATGACTTACAGTAATAATTTTGGCATGTAATAAAATTTCCGTTAGAAGTTTTAAACAGCAACTTTTTTCAAGGCTAGTTTGAAGTACTTGTATCAGGTCAGACCAAGGCACTGAACCACCAATTAGAACAGGGACTATTAACTGAGCCAAATAAGTCCAAATCATTGGAATATCTATCACCATGTCTTCAGCAAATTGCAAAATTTCAGACAAGCTGAAAAAAAAAATTCTATTAGTATTTGACAGACTACACCATATTAAATAGATTAAGAACAAAATGTAAGAATAATTTTAATAGGTATATTAAAGAATATAGACACTTACCCTTTGAAATATGTAACACAGGGTATGAGGTTATTTTTAACCATTTCATGGAAAAACTGGCCTGTTATATCACGCTCTTTCTTTGACTTTTCAAGAACATCATTTATACAAGAACTAACCAACACTTCAAGGTAAGTTTGGCCCTCCAATTCTTTCAGGCATAATTTTGCTTCCTGGAGAAATTCAAAATAAATATTCTTAACTGTAACAAGGGGCAAGAGCATTTACTAATCATTTTTAATATATTTATTAATTTATTCAGGGATGTGAAAAAAAATTGGACATTTTTTACAGCCAAGAAGAACTCAATTTTATCTGTTTTATCGCAGTAAAGCACTCACACCATTACTCTAGTAGTTTACTATAGCTAACATTTAAAATAAAAGCTTTTTAATAAAATAGTTGGTATCAAGTTTTTCTCCCACAAACAAGACAGTTGGGGTCAGGTTAGTTCACAATATGCCAAAGCAGGACCATAATATTGGAGATTGGCTGTGACATCATTTACACTTTTCCCCAAACAAGCAAAACTAAACTCTACTTGGGGGTCATAGTTAGATCACAAGAGTCGCCTTTGCTACAAGGAGGGGGCGGGTTAGTCTAGTCTTAATATTCTTTTACAAGAATTTCAATACTATTTTGAGATTGCGAAATTTTAAAAAAGCAGTGAGAAATTGTAGCTTTCGGCGAGTTAAAATACAAGGAGAAATTAACTATAACCTAACTGCAGCGCAAGCAAGATTAATGGTAAAGAAACCAGGCTCAGGAGATATACATTTCATTTAAAAAGCAGCAACATCTTAGATTACGCGTTTTTGATAAATATTTTACAGAATAAAAAAAGCAGAAAATTGTAACTACATTTTTAAAACTTCGTACAAAAGAGGCAGAGAATTTTTGGAGGAAATTAAAGTAGCGGAGGAAAATTGCAGCTGAAAGGGAAAAATCTGAAATCACATCCTTGATTTGTTACACGTCAAACCATATATCTTTAGACAGTAATCATCACTGCTTTACTCACTTCAAGATCCTTCACACTTAGGAACTCTTCCAAAATGATTTTAGCTTTATTTTCCATTTCTTCACGTGACAGAGGTTTCATTTTCTTGACAGACTGATCATCAGCACCAGGGACTGGTGATACTGTGGTTGGGGGTAATAGGGAATCTGAGTTAGGACGCAATGATATATCACTACGGGTCATAACATTCTCTCCCTCTCTTGAGCCTCTAGGTCCATAAGGTCGATGGTCATCACGATTCCAACTGCTATCTCTACTTGAATTCTGAGATCGACCACCAGTCATTGGCCTGATTGGAAAAGTATAAAAACAATAAAGTTAATGATCTGAGTATGAAATTTTGACTCTGTACAACAACCCGTGTAACTGGATGAATTGTAGCTTTTCTAGAATGCGTTATCTCACAGTAAAAATGTCTGTTCTGCATTATAATTCCCTGAATATCCCTGGTGCTTTGTTTGTTTGTTACTGAAGCTTATGTGTTTAATAAATGAAACAAATATTTAAGACTGAAGGACGTTACATCAGCAAAATGAAACATCTGGTTGATTAGTGGAATTATTGCCCATCACCATAAACAGAAACTGCAAGTGAAAGGGTTAAAAATAGAATACCTAGATGCTCCTAGAGTTTCTCTTCTTTCTCCTTCATTGCTTGATCTTGTTAAAATCTTTCCACGACCATGACCAGCTGTTGGCCCCTGCCTCATGCCTCTGTTAGAAACACTATCACCACGAGAAGGAGATCTCTGAAAATTTCTGCGGTCTTCCTCGCCACGTAGTAATGAAAATCTAAAAATTTAATTGTAAATTAGTTTTAAAATTTGTTAATGAATATGAATTAACTTTTGTCAATTGTTAATCCTGTAATCAAAATATATAAAAATGAGGATAGAAATAAAGTTCTGTAATCAACAGTGGTTCATTAATACTATCCTTTTAAACCATAAGCATCAAATATAACTTACCGATTAGTTGCAGGAGCTGGTCTATCATCTGTTGATGGTTGAGCACCACCATAACTACCTCTACTCCACATAGAGAATTTATTGGTTCCGCCACCAGGACCAAGCTGAATACTATTCTCATCAACAACATTCTAAAATTTAAAACAAAAATATATACAAATTTGGAGTAAAACTCATTAAAACATAAAAACTAATGGTGGAAGTGCATAATGTTGTACCTTAGAAAGTCTCATCTTGCTGGCATCTATCCTTAAAGATTTCGATCCTACTGTGTTCCATCCATCATCAAGAGGCTGTTTCATCTCTTCTTGACGTTCTATTAATAAAAAAAATGCTACATCAGGACATGTTTATAATAAAAATATTTCCTAAAACGAAATATAAAAACCAAATTCAAGAGTTTTAAAACAATTAGACAACAGTGATTTATCTTACGTCTACTTCCACGTCTGCTGTTTGGTTGAGCATTGTCATTTCTTGGTGGTGGTGGTTGAGACTGCATTAATTGTTTTGTAAATTGCTCTTGCTGGAAATCTTTGTGCACCTCGTCAATTTTTTTGGGACCTGCTTGCTCTTTGCGAGGTACCCAGTTATTCTGTCAAGTGGATGTAGTTAATAGGTAGTTAATATCTACAGGAAAGTCAAAGCTTCATTGCTTAACACACTAAAATTAAAAATTAGTTGAGATAAAATAAGGAACTTACACTTCTTAAATCAATAGCATCTTTGAGAATAAATTTGATTCTTGATTTTCGCTCTTCTGCAATTTTGGACATCTGTGCAAAATACTGATCCATTCTTGTCTTAGAATAGATATTATAAAAGTTATTACTTGTGTCATTAAAATTCAGGTGTAAATAAACTTTATATAACCTAAAGTGCTTAAATTAATTAAACAACATACTTACCTTTGCCTTATCTGTGTCAAGTAACTGCCCAACAGTAGTAAGAAGATTACACAGAGATACTAAGGAATCATCATCACGTGCTTTAAGCAGACGGTAGATGCAATCATGCATAATATTTTCAGTCAACATCCCCAATTTGAAAAGTTCTCCAATAAACCTATAAATAGAAAATTGTTTTTTCTTATGTTTAGAAAAATTTTAAAATAAAAAAAAAGTTCTAAAGTGCACAGATATCAATGCTGCAATCACTTGCCGGTTTCCAGCCTGTAGCTACTTTATCTGGATGTTTTATGCGAAATGTGAAACCACAGCGCTTGGCTTGTCATGTTCAATTATGAACACTGTTGTCTTTTCGATTTTATTTTCAGGAAATTTAGTTTCTCCTTTTAAACTAATTTGGATGGACTAAGTGGCAATACTTGAACCAATCAACAGCTAGCTTAAAGGTTATACTAAAAATAGCTTCTAGATAATACAGCTCAAAGTAAATAAGATCTTGTTATCAAATTCTGGAAGGTGGGGAAAGTATGATCTAGTTTGTGAGATGTGACCTGGGTGGCTTAAGAATATTTTATTTTTTGGTATTCGTTGTTACCTGATGTTTCCATAAAATTTGAGCCTCTTCATCTTCATCTGATACAGGGTATTCTCAATACATTCTGTTCTTTCCGGCTGTTTGTATAATAAATTTAGAAAATGTATTTGCAAAACTATTTTTGGAATTTACTGTCATTCATAACATTGAAAATCTGTGTAAATTAATAGTTAATTTAAATAAAGCAAATAATACAGACGTTGTAAACTTTGCATATGAAGGGGTTGTTTGACAAATTAACAATCAGCGCAGTTAGATTTGGGTACGCCCAAATGGATACAAGCCCAGAAATGTAACAGTAACCACACTTTTATCATTCAACCACTCTATAAAAAATCAAATACCAGGCATTAAAAGTACATACCCCTTCAGGCATTTCTGATTCAATTTTCTTCTTCTTCTCTTCCGGATCCTCAAACACAACAGCCTTATCAGCTTCAAATTCCTGCTGGCATTTGGTTAACATAACCACTCGAAAAGTAGATTGGTTATCTTTCATATTTGCTGGAGGGGGTACTTTAAGCTGAAATTTGGAACTTACAGGTTAGTTTAATGGAAACAAACTACATTATGCTCAATAGTATCTTAAGTTATGCTAGATAAGATAAAATAACTAAACTTGCTTACCGGTGCCATAATTTTGCAAAGCAGTGCATAGGCCTCAACAAATTTTGTTTCAATGGTTACCTGAAAAATTATTTAGTTCAATATAATGGTAGAATGTTCACATTTCTAAGTGACTTAAGGACAAAACAGATTTTTAAATCAATGTATGTAATAGTGATTTAACAATTTTGACATTTAAATATTTTGTCCAAATATAGAATATTATTTAGTTAAAATAAAGGCATACAAACCTTGTCAAAAAATATTTTAACCAGCTCTTGCAAATCCTCATAAGTTGTAATATTTAGACCCCTCATTTCCACAGCCAAGCGTTCAAAGTTTGTTGGGGTAAGTCGATTCATGATAAACAGTATCTCTGCTTCAAGTGATTTACGCTAGAAAAGTAATGTGTATGTGTAACTAAAAGGTTTTCTTAACTAAAGAACACTACATTAATGGTTTACTCATCAATGGCAATATTTTGTAATCATGTTACCTTTTCTGCTATTTCGCCAGCTGATAATTGCTTTGGTGTTGGCTTCCAAGGTTTTTCACTTTGATGCAATGGTTTAACATCATTAGATAAAGAATAACTTTTGATAATTCGCTGAGGCATTGGTACATCTCCTGGCCTTTGCCTACCTCGACTGCTGCTTTTTCCAATCTGTGGTGGGTGCTGCAATAAACAAGTCAATAGGTTTACCACAGCTAAATCAAATAATGTTCATGCTACTGAGTAGTTCAGCAAAAAAGCTACAACATTTCTGACCTGCTTAAGTAAAAAATAACTTTCTAAGTTGTATAAACTAGGTTCAATAGATTCTCCTCGTTGGAAAAAGATTTGTGACAAGAATGGTAACATAAGCTGATGTTTGGCTATCAGAAACGAGGAATTCCAAAGTGGTTTATCATCATTTAAAACAGATGGAAATTTCATCACACAGCCAAAAGCAAAACTATATCTGCTAACAGCTTAGAAAAATTTGTGGCCTTCTAAAAAATATGCTGTGTGGTGATATAACTAAGAAGCAAACAATTTCTTTTTTAAGCAACAAGACTAAATAAGACCAGCAACAAACATGTTTGTTTTCTTAATTATTACCAAACTATTCACTATTATTTCATTGGTATATGCTTACCCTGTTTGTTGAAGTTTGTTGGAAAAATGCAGGAGTAAAATCTAGGACATCACTTTTAGTTCTATTAGAGCTGGTAGGCTAAAACGTGAAAAAAAAAATCTTAGCCCACATATCCATAAATGTTTTGTAAGATTATATTTCACAACTTGTACAATTTTAATTTTTTAATACATTTTTAAAAAAATTGTATAAAATGTGTTTTATAAAGAAAACTAACCTTGTCGAGAATAATTTCCAAATTTGGAAGCCCTTCCGGTTTTGCTAATGAGGATGGACATTCACGAAGTTCCATTAAGTATGCTCTGTCATAGATGAGCTTTTCTTTGTCTGTAAACATTTAATTAAAAATAACATGGCCAGTAAAAAAAATTACAACTACTTTTATTCAAATTAAAGAGCTTTGTCCTGTCTAAAGATCTATATCATAACTATATTAGCTGTAGATGCAGTAAGATTTTAAAAAACCAGGCAATGAATCTTAAATTTTTTTTAGTTTTTTTAATTTGGCACTCAGAAACGAGGAATTCCATAATGGTTTTTCATCACAAAAGCAGATGGAAATTTCATCATACAGCCAAAATCTTTGTGTATTTGCTTGAAAAAAAAAATTACTTTTATTTTGTACTTTACTCATGTCATTGGATAAATGCAGTCCTGTCTAAAGATCTATATCATAACTATATTAGCTGTAGATGCAGTAAGATTTTAAAAAACCAGGCAATGAATCTTAAATTTTTTTTAGTTTTTTTAATTTGGCACTCAGAAACGAGGAATTCCATAATGGTTTTTCATCACAGAAGCAGATGGAAATTTCATCATACAGCCAAAATCTTTGTGTATTTGCTTGAAAAAAAATTACTTTTGTACTTTACTCATGTCATTGGATAAATGCAGTCCTGTCTAAAGACCTATAGTCATCCATGTACCCCAGTAGATCATGTATCTCCCATGATTTTTAATGTTTCCATGTTTTTGTGACGTGACACTTTCCAATTTTAAGTAATTAGATGAGGCATCTAATATTGATATGAATGAACACCAAGAGTTTTGTTCACATCCCTTTGACTTAAATGATTGCTTATCGTTCCTTATGTGCCAGTAATGTTACACTTTTATTGATTTTCTGAAAGAATATAGTATTTTTTCCAATTTGGATACTAAAAATTTGTTCAGCTTGTAAAATTGGGGTATCTTCTTTTGTAAGAGTCAGTTTTAAGTAGATATATAAAAGTTTCACATCACTAAAATATTAATCAGCTCTGCAAAATATACGCATACATTTTTAACCTGAGTTCCCTTTTGGCTTTAACAGAGCAGACTGATTGTTGCTATTAAATGAGTAAGTGAATGTTCATTATGAGGTGTTTATCAAATGGAACAACAAATTATCTTTAATTTTACTTTTTAGAAAATGTTCAATTTTTAAGTAGTCAAACATCTCATATTATGGTAAAAAAAATATTTTTTTAGTCTGGTAAGAGATTATGGAAACTGAGATTAAGACAAATGGGTAATCAATGGTGAACCACAAAAAGGAATTTTAAAAACAAACTAAAAGGGGAGAAGGATGAGTGTTAAGACTGCAAGGCTTTCAGAAACGAGGAATTCCAAATGGAGTTTATCATCATACTAAAGCAGATAATAGCTTCATCACACAGCCTTAATGCAGACTTAAGTATTTTTTTAAAGTCATGTTTAATTTTAAGCCCTACACTTAACTAGACTTTACCATTAAATATTTGATTTGCTTCCCATCAATTTAAATGCAACTTGCCTTTTTTAATTTTTGGTATATTTTTATCCACTTTAGTCCCATCCTCCACATTTGATTGCCCTTTCTTTACATCATCAATTTTTTTTGTCATATCCTTTGGTGCTTCTAACTCTTCATTCAACTCATTCAACTCTTCTACCACAGCATCATCAGGTGTAGCATCTGGCTGTGTTGCCTCTTGTGTGCCATTATCCAAAGACTTTGAGTTTTGCCTTTCAGCTTGTATTTGATGACGGTAATTATTTTTAATATTATTTGCCAACTGATCAGCCGGGGGTTGGTTTTGATTTTGAACAGGGAGACTAATGGTAATGGTAGGTGTCATAGCAGAATCCAATGCTTTCTCACATGTGACTGTTTTGGCTTGGGCTAGAGCAGGGGCAGTGCTACTTAATGCTGGCTCAGGGGATTCTTCTTTAGTAGACACTTTTGTGGTATGTGTATTTTCAACTGCAGTTGTATCTTCTTTTACAATTTTATCTTGATATCCTCTATTGTCGCCGCCGTGTGATGGGGGAAGTGGAGGCTTTGTGCTTATATCTGATGCTTCATTTTCTTTTTCCTAAAAATAAAAGTAAAATCAGTGATGAAAGCAGCCTGTTTCAGAAAATTAGGGTTGCACTTTAAAAATAAAAAAAAACTATATGAGATATTGTGTGCATAAAAATAGGGATGAACAAAAATACAAAAAGGATAGTTAGTAAAGGTATGGATTAAACTACTGAAGCATGCAAAAGCAAAGAACATATTAGTAAAATACAGTTAAGATGTTTAAAATATTTTGTAAATTTAAACAAGGCATTTGCCAAATGTACAAAGTTTAACAAACATTTAACATCTACAAAAATTAACATAGTAAAACTTGTTTTAATGTACAAGAACATTTTAAAGGATTTAACAAAACTTGTATAAATTATAATTTCAAAAAAGAAAACATTAAATGCTTATTACATATTACTTAACAAATAAATTCAAACTTCAATTTTATAATTAAATAATGTTAAGAGTAAAAAAACAATGAACAGGTTAATTTTACAGATAATTAGAACATTGTGTTAAATTTAAAATGATCTTGTACCTCCAGCTGAGAAGCTTCATTTGGTGGTTTAGTACACTGATAGCTGCTTTCAATGTTTGCCTAAAAATTTTTAACAAAAGACTTGCAAATAATTGTATGAAATAATGTTTAACAAGACCTATCACTGACATTTTCAAAATGACTTTTCATTAATTATATATTTTACTATTAAAACCTCTCAGGAACAATTTTATTAAATATAATTTCTTAGCTGATGTTAGATAGCCCAGTCGATATTGTCATCCAAGTGTACTATTATAAACCACAATTGCTGCTGATAAAAATCACAAAATTCCAAACCTCTGAACTATTAGCAGATGTACTCTGTTTTGTTTTTTGAATTGGTGGTGTCTTCCGTCCTTTTTTCTTCTTCTTTTTCTTTAATTTGTGCTTACTCTCAACCTAGGAAAGAGTACTTCTGGGTTTAAACTAAGTTTTTAAGTAATGTAATGAATTAAGATCTCGGCCAGTCTTAAACAAAATGATTACATGGACAAGTGAAGTAACAATAGTACAGATGTACCAATTTTAATTTGTGGGTAACTGTAATGTACCTGTGCAGGTGCAGCCAATTCTTTCTGAGATAAAGCCTTAGGATTATTTAAGGAATCACAGTCTGTTTTAAGTCCAATGTCTTTAGCTACTGATGTTTGAGCATCTTTATCCTCTAACACTCTTTCAGATACTTTATCTTTCTCTGAGTCACTGTTAGTTGCTTGAACTTTTTGATTCATCTTAGTACATTCATCTACATTAATACTAGTTACTGTGCAAGTATTATTTTCCCTTGAATCACAAGCATCACCTCTGTCGATGTCCTTCACTTCCTTAACATTTTGCTTGAAAAATACAGATACAGGCTTTATAAAATTTACTGTTTTTGTTGTTTTTTTTTCAATGAATTTGTTGGGAAATTAAGCATCAAAATAATGAATTTTTAATACAGTTCCATGCTAAAAGATTATAAACTTTTTGTATTCATTAGTATTTCAGCCCCACAAAATAAAAACATGTAAAAACCATTTTAAAAACCTGTCAGTTTATAACAGATTTAAATAATCTTGACGATTAGTGACAATACCAAGTATGACACCATGAAAATCCAATTGCCCACTGGTAAAAAAGATTTACATCTGCAACAGTTTGCTGATAATTTTAAGCAATAAAAACTAATTTTGCCACCCTTCATAAGCATTACCTAATCTTTTAACATAATTTCTTAACTCAAATCAGGTAACCCATTGGCAGTCCTGTGAAAGAAACTTAAGTGTACCAAGGATACCATCATTTTACTTAGAAAAAGTAATGTTCATTTTTTTTTTTTAAATGTCTACTCATCTACACAACACACATAAGGTTAAATTCAAGCAAGCTTTTACAAATGAAGAATATTATACCATCATCAATTTCCAAATGATGGATGGAAATAAATGTAAATATAAAGGGTATATTTATGATACTAATTGTTTTAAAACCTTACAGTGCAGACTAAACCTTTTTATTTTCTTTATGCCTCAACACTATTATTTTACTGTCTGTGCCCTTAACAGTAGATATATTTTGCCATATGTCCAGACACATCTCAATATTACTCCAATTTTGATTGGAAAAAGTGAAAATGACTAGTAGGCAGTTATTTATTCTGAACTGAATGAAGATTGGCTGTGTAATATGATTCAGCTTTTGAATTTTTTTACCATGATTTCAAACTAAATTATCAAAACCATCTGATCTATGACTGAGCACAAAGGAAGGAAATCTGCAACACGGAAATGTACGTGTTTTAGGCCATTAAAAATGTTTATATTTGTTTTCATGAAAAAAAAAGCTTTCTAGAACAACATCTTTGTAACTATGGTTGCTTAATTTCCATGTATGGTATTGATTTGGTACACGCTACAGACGGATGCTAGCAACACAGCTAGACAGGCTGGAGTGGAACCCCCAGGTTGACCCAGGAAGACATGCCAACCGCTGAAAAGAGTGGTCAATGAGGGGTGGAAAGCTTTGAAAGAGGCCTGATCTAGGAAGGAAAAATGATGCTCTTATGTTTTCTTAAAATTAACAAAATAAGCATACAATATCTGAAATAATGTCTTGGGATTGTTTTCAATATGAATTGTAATCAACTATGCCTACCTAAATGCAAACATTCTGAGTAAGTCATTTACAAAAAGTGGTATTATAAGCATCTGTGAGGATCAAATGCTGTTGCTTGGTTACACCAAAAACAGAAATAATGCAGACATACATAGATAATTTTTAGAAAAATGGATAGATGTTCTTAGATCCAAATTGAGACAACTTCAATAATATATCTAGCTGAAAAGTCAATAATTATTTTTTAAAGTTACTAACTAGCAGTATTAGCCATCAGTAACTAATTTTACGGCAATTACTAAAGACAACACATTCCAATAATAAATATCCTTACGAATGGAAATGTGCTATAGATAATAGCATAATATTCATAAACTCTGTAGGTCATTTTATTGTAGTGAATTTTTTTAAAAATTTATGTCAGGGTGTGAAACAATTATAAAAAGTATTAATTACTTTTTTAACAGCTATTTATACTGGAAATACAAAAATAAGCTAATTCAATAATATGAACCTAAAACTATAAATTAAGCAATGAATTAAGTATACAATGACTTCAATAGTATGCATATTCTTAGTTGTTCATGGAACAGACAGTTGCTATTGTTGTCACCATTGATGTATTTTAAATTAAAGTTAAAAGGAAAATATAGTAATTATTCTGGTAGCTTCTACAGTAACAAGATGCTCTACAGTAACAAAAGTTGTAACTAATTACACTTCCAAGGACTCAAAATTTTGTGGTTGGCTATCAGTACCATGCCTTCAGGATCCCAGTTTTAGCCATCTAAAAAATTCTGTATCAGTTTAAGAATTTCAGAGTGATAAAATTAAATAAATAAAAAATGCCAGAATAAATACAGATCTAATTCACTTTTAAAAATAAAATCCTCAAACTGAGTTTATAAATAAAATACAAAATGTAATTTTTTTTTAAAACAAGAGAACAATCAAAATAATTAGTGGATTTTGTTTAGCGTTTATCTAAACTAGATCTGTATGTTTAAAACAAAAAATGTTCCTATTTTTCACCAATTATGGAAATGAACCTTAGGTACATAAACACGAGCAAACAATTTAAAAATAGCAGTGCAGAAAGAAAACCTTTGTTGAGCTATTGTTGTTATTTATGGTGGCCTGAGGTTCTGATAAATTTTTGAAAAGTCTACTAGGCCTATAACTTTAGCTTTTACTATGTAACACTGCTGTTTGATTTTACATAAACTAAACAAATTTTTTTTTTTAATTTTGATTCTTTATCTAGTTCTTTTTAGTTTTTATTCCTTGAGTTTCTGACTTTATATGTACTAGATAGGCACATACTAATTGTAGTGCTAGACCAATGCTAAAATCGTGCTAGGTCTTAGAAGAAATATTTCACTTCCTATTTTTTCCATATTTCATTATTCGCTGTTACAAAAATGGCAACAGAACTGGTTGTTTCACTGTTGCTCTGTAACTGAAAAATACTACAAATTACTTGTTTCAAAAAAGTGCTTGCGCAAGTTGAACACAGATTCCCTATTGTAGGCCCCTACAACATTTTCAACATAAAATAGATGCAAAAAGGAATTAATAAATACTAGGGTTATTCATTATTTCTAATTTAGTTATCATTTCTACAAAATATTGGGAGTTCTTAAAATATTTTAAGCAGAATAGAAGCATGCAGAATGAGACTATATTTTGTTATTGAGCTGAACTATGCCACTAATGGTGCTTATGTTATCAAGCTAGAAAAAAAAGTATAAAAATGAATGCATAAAAATCAAGCAAACTTTACAACATCAATGTGTAACAGTTAAGTGCTTTAACTAAAAGCTTATTTACTTACATCCATAAAAGCATCCATATCACTACCGACAAGTTCTTTTCTATTGAAATCCTTTTTCTTTTTACCTTTGCGAGCATCCTTGACAGCTTGGCTTGCTCCTATGAAAAGAACATGATCACTTTTAAAAAATATGCTTTTTAGTTTAACTACCTAGAATACATCATTAAAAGCCTACATTAGATTAAGATCTTAAACATTTTATTAAGTCATTGATTTAAAAAACCAAAACAAACAGTTGATTTATAAAACTTTTCAGCTACAACTGAAGGTAGACCCAGGCTTCCTGTAACCAAGTAATCCACAAGACCAGCATTGAGAAAAAATTTCCCTCCAAGTACCATACATAATTAGTCAATGGGACTAAACAAATTAACTAAGCAAAATTTTATTAATAGATTTTGGTCCTGACCTACATTTTCTCTCAACAAATAAGTTATAACAACCTAATAACCAATTGTACCCTAATGTTTAGTATTTTGCCTTACCACATGCACAAAGAGCCAACAAATTTTGTTTGAAATGGCTCATTTTGTTTGATTATTTTAGATCTATTGTTTATTATCCTTCAAGAAATAGATTAATACACACATAATTGTAGGCCTATATATTATATAGGCTATAATTAAAGTTCTTATAAAATATTAGATCTATTAATATTTGGCTATTAATCTACAGAAGGCACATAGTTACTGTTATGTTATACAATAGCTCCAATACTTTAAAATTCTCTATTTCTTTACAATACTAACATCTTACATAAGTGTTGTATAACAAAAGTGTGACATATGTTGAGATATGCTGAATCAACAACTTTTTCTAAAGTTTTTATTTTGCACTAAACAGATATAGAATCTAGATCTAGATTCTAAACTAGAATTAGATCTAGATCTATATCTAGATTCGAGATCAAGTACAAATCTTTTTGAGATTTTTCTTTTAATTAGTTAAAAGAGCAAAAATATCGTGAAAAAATCTTAAGTAAAAAAATCGTTTGTTCATTGCACTAAAGCTAATTCAATGTTATTTTTCTCTTTTAAACAAGGACTAGAAACAGAAACGGCTAAAAATAACACGTTGTTGTACACTGTGAAACCTTACCATATGGCTCAGATAGATTAGTACATCCGTTTAAAGCCGGCATTCTAGGCAAGTGAGAGTTATAAACACATCACGCACAGGGCCAGTGATGACCCCAATACAAGTCGTACTTGGTAAGGCACACGCTCGAAAATAGCTTTAGCCCTAGGCCACGGCATTCTACGGGTAATGTGTTGTCAAAAGTACGAGAAGCCTTTTGTGAATTTTAATCGAGCGGATCATTTCTGTGGCCTAGTTTTACCAAATGGGATGGGCAATGTATAGTCTAAGCATTGTATCAATGGGATAGCCTATATTTTAAATAGCGAAACAACTAAAACTGCCGTGTTAACAATACGCGAGCCAGGTGAAAGGCTAAATGACAAAGCACTGTGACAGTTAGAGGTTAATAGGTCTAGATACCAACACACTTGTATCCCCCTATTGAGATAAATGTATAAAAAATGCTTGCGAGAGCAATGATCTCATATCGCAGATTCACGGGAAAAGCTAATAGTTCGCCTCTTCGGTAAATACCAGTACATGTACCATTTCGCGATGTGTAAACGAGCACGAGGGGGAAAGTAGGCACATAGCACAATGTCAAGGTGAGACCAGCACAAGCGGCGTCGATATGCTTTTGTTACACGTAGCCTGGTCGCAGCCTTTACCATCTTGATGGGATTTGTTAAGGCGCTCGTTTGTTAAGCTATTTGTTTATCGGATCTCTTTACTGGACTATGTAAACATACACATGTATGTGACAATGTCAAGTACTCTTTGACTAAGGCGAAACTAAAAGACTTTTTGATTGAACATGTCTAACATTAGCAATACAAACATCACAATTTTATGGTTGTTGAACAACACTTTTAGTAATGTCTAAACGAGTCGATAATCAAATTACACATCTCAGCCATGCTAAGATAACAATGAGCGGTCCAACTACTTGTTATAATTTAGTTTCCACTAGGACGTAGATCTAGTAAGTCGCAGTAAGAATATTTACTGACACGCATTAGTGTCGAATATATCAGTACTGTATTGCTAGTAGGCCTGTATAGTATAGACTACGATAGCCGAGTCAATTTAATCTGACCTATGCTCAAGATTAAGATAATATTGAAAGTGTTCGAACCAGTAGACCGACTCGACACAATTTACTGGGAAGTTGCTAGCTTAGGTACTAAGTCTGCCTCGATGATACGCAATAGGCTAAAATTGGAAAACATGCACAGCTAAATGTCAGTTCGAAATCATTAGTAGTCCACATGCTCTACCAACCTTTGTGTCCTTTTCTACTCATTGAAATTTATAAACAGGCTATAAAGCCACATTTACTTTATTCACTTGATCTGATATAGTATCGCGTCCGTAAATGTACAAAGAAAAAAATGTAAAAAGTATCTGTAAATGCCAGTCGCCAATTCAATGTTACAAAACGTGTATCAAAGTCAGCTTCACGTTATTTGTAGAACATGATTCACTCGCACACCGGCACTGTCTGACTACAGATGCCTAGGCTAGCAGCGCCAGTGAGCACACAACACATGAGCCAAATATGATAGGCACACAAGCCACGTGAAGACGAAAACGTAGGGGTAATAGGTGGATACGAGATAAGTAAGGATGCTTATCTGGGTCAGGTAGAATTGCTTTGTCACAAAGTACATTCTCTACTTAAGACAATGGATACTGTGTTTAGTTACAGACACTACGTAGAATCTTGATCTAGTATTTACAATGCTAACAAAAGTGCGCTAAACTGAAGCCTAGATTAGAAGATAGCAAGGAACAGTTGTTCATGGATGTGAACTAAAAATAGACCGTCAGTGGTGTTTGATTTAACAACAGGCTGAACTTAGTTCAAGAACTAAGGGCTTTTAGAACAGTATGGATAATACACTTTTAAAAGATGATATAATATAATAGCGTAAAACCGAAGTTCTAATTCAGTAACTAAAATAAACGCAATCGCTGTTAAAAAAATAGTTTGTAACGTCAGGAGTAGATTCTAGATCTATACTTATCTATAGAAATAGCAGACATTTTCAATACAAATGGCCATCAGAAACGAGGAATTCCAAAAATGGTTTCTCATCATTGAGATGCAGAAAATAATTTCATCACATGGCCACACAAACGATCACGCAAAATAATCTTTTCATTTTATTCACAACTTCTCAATTTTAAATGAAGGCTACACAAAAGACCGCTTTAATTTCTTTCCCATAGAAAACGTGTGGGGTGTTCGTGTAAATATTGAGCTTTGTTAAATGGGCAATAAGCAAGTAACATTTTCTTCACCCACTAAGAATAAATAGTAAATACTGACAATTACTGCTCTGTACTTTCAGCAATTAAAAAATAATTAACATGAATAATTTATTTTATAGGAAACAGTTGCTGGAAACATTACAGAGCATCCAGTAACACTATGATTAGAGAAATAAAGCGGGTGTGATCACATACAGGTGATATGTGAAATTTCGTTTATCTATCTGAAACAGTACTCAAATTAAAGGCTTTTGAAAAACCAAAAGTAGAATAAGTTCTAATAAGTTCCACTTTCGGTTACCGGAAATCACTTAAAAGTTGATACAGAACAACAAATTTGATATAATACTTCATCAAGTTTTCGTGTTCAGACAACACACACACACAGGCATACGGATAAAATTGCAAAACTAAGTTTTTCTGATGCAGGGAGGTGTTAGACGTCGAGATTTGTGAAACTTTCGATTTTTTGCATGATTACATTACTTCTCTATACTTCGTATATGAGAAAGTAATTATAAAAAACTCGGGTTATGAATGCTCCCCATAAATATTGGAAGCTTCACCCATTTTTATTTTTGCACTAGTTGAAAGAACAAAAAAAAAACAGTTAATGATTCTAAAAAAATTAGTCACTAGGCTGGGAAAGTTTAATCCTGTATGACCATGACCAACCTTTTACTACAAGTTTTAGGTAAAGGAAAGATGGGTGAAGTGTTTAGGGAGTAGATCAAAAAATTTGATCAATAATACAAGTGAATAAGAAAATTATATTCTGGCAGCTGTACACACAAAACATTTGGTGTGCTCCTTTTAAATTAATTGATTTTAAAATTTAAGGCAGTAGGCAACAGCTTTTCAAGACTTAAAGAACTTTAAATTTGAATTCTAATACCTATTTCACTTTATTCGCCCACTCACATGGGACTTGGTTTTTGTTTCATTTTATTTTAAAGTTATTTGTTTTTGAGTTTTTCCTTCGGCTTTTGAAACTCCTTTAATGTTTTTCTGTCGGTTGCTATTTTTTTTTATTCTGTTCAATTCCTTCCAAAGATGTTCATATCTTTTACAATTTCTCTAAGCAACGTGTTTTAAGTATCCTTTTACTTGATCCTTGTGGATTCCATAATGTGTCTTGTTTGGTATACTTGTTGCAAGTATCCTCAACATTTAGCCTATATCCACCAGTGCTTTGTCAAACAACTTTAAAGTAATTGTGATTTACAATTGTATTGAAACTAAAAAGGCTTTACTATGAAGATAAAAAATTCAATGTACAGTTTAATTAAAATTCAAATAGCGGCTGATACACCTTGTTACTTTAATAATGGTGTATTTTTAATAGACCCATAATCTGAATTTCTGATTTATTTTTGTGCTGTTCCTACTCAGGACGATGAAGTAGAGTTCATCTGTTTTAATGACCTTGGCATACAGGTGGTCAGAGCTATGCACAACTGCCTTTGTTTCCTTGAAGTGAGACAGGTACCCATCAGAGCTGGGTAGAGCCAGTGACCAGTCTTGGGCCCGAGATCCAAACTAGAGACTTTCGGGTTAGCAGTCCAATTCCTGATTGGTTCGACAAAATCAGATGCAGATTGTGTCATAACTCTACAGGAGGTTATTTTTTTAATGGAGTGGGTTCTTGGTTGTTTATACAACCATTTAGACGCACCCAGGCATGTGTAAGAAAGCCATGAGTGTGCGTTAGTCAATCTCTCTACTACGAGGGCTGAGGATGCACTTGATTCTATTATAGAAGCCTAATGTAGTATGGTATTCTTTAAAACAAACATAGGCGCCAGCAGAGGCCTGGTGAAGTTTGTAGTCTGTGCATGATGCTCAATCAATAGATACCAAGTGCTAAAATGGCTAGGGAACTCTGAGCACCCAATTGCACCTTGAAGTGGTGCAGCACCTCAAATGTAAAACATTTTTTCAATTTTTTTGCAGAAACCTTCCTAGGTGTATTATCAACTTCCCAGTGTTTAATGGCATTTGGATGAAATATGTAGTAATGCATAAAAGACAAACAAACCCACACATATATGTGTATAGATTGTAGTCTGCTCCAGTCCACCTCTGTTGATCACCAGCTTTCAGCACCGTACAATATAACAGTTTACATTTGTTAAAATTCGTAAATTCGTCTTATTAGGTGTTTGCTCCCATTTACTTAAGAGTACTGGATACTGCAGATGGGAAGTACAACAACACTAAGCTACCATTTTTAAAATAGGATAAGCAACTTTTCTATAAAAACTATTCCACTGACTCTTCTTACTTATTTGAGCTAATTTTTACATCATCTCATCTCTTTTCCTAGGACATAGCTTTGCCAACTCATAGTGCTAATTTATGGAACAAATTCTTAATACAATAAAACCATCTGTAACTAAAAATCTATTTTATATTAAATTAAAAAGATACCCAACTGTTTCTGACCTGAGTCTATGCAAACTCTCATTTATCTTTTTGATTCTCATTCTAGTTTACTCTTCATTCTATATTATAGAAATTTATCTTTATTCTTTTTTAACTACTATTTTATTAATGTCTTTAATATTTAAATGCTATTTTGTTAAGTCAGTATGTAAAAGAAAAAGCCACCATTGCAGTTGGTAAAAAAATAAAGTTTTAGTAGAGATATCCTAAAATATGCAAGATAAAACCAATAAATTATATATTAATAATATAGTAATTGTATTTTATACTTATACCCAGACTTTCTAAAAGTAGTATATTTATTAATCACTACTCGTTTCAAGGCTACTAAGTACCAACTAAAATAACATAAAAAAATTTAATTAACATTTAAAAGGATGGGAAAACATAATTCAGAGTCCCCACAATTTTTTGACCAGAAAATTCCCTGCGATTAAAAAAAAAATTCCCTGCTATTTTTTACATTAATTTCAACGTGCATAACCATTGAATATAAACTTGCCAAACTAAAACAAATTATACCACAAAAAAGACATTTTTTTAGAGGTCCCACTCATTTTTTTAAGTGAATCACGTCCTTCAATTTGATCCCAAAATTTTTGAACACTAAAAAAATTTCTGAAGCTACTTTTCAAAGTAAAATTTGGCATTACTTACTTTTCGAGACATTTGATTCACATATACATCCCCCCCCCCCAATGTGGGCCCAACAGTGAGTTCAAGAAAGTCTCATTTTCTCCAGTTGTTACAATTTTTATCTCCTCTCTCCAAGAAATAATTATAGTTGACCCAATAAGCAGCTGAGATAGTTGGTGACATCACTAGCCTTTACATATTTTTTCGTGAATGCAAGAAAAGCTGGCTTTTGTAATTTTTTTTTAAAATCATCAATTATTTTATCATCAAATAAACATTCTAAAATAAATAACTCCATAATTCACTGCGGTAACTTTACAGAAACAGAGTGGTCAGTCAGTTGTATGCCCAGCTGGATGACTCCGGGACATTCTACAGGATTAGGAAAGCAGTCTATCACTTTGTTTTACCATCAGACGTCCCAATGACAGATAAAATTTGGACTTAAAACCATAACATGGCTACACTTCAACCGTATTAGTGAACTGCCATACAAGCCTGCAACCTATTAAACTTTGGCATGGAAAAATTAAGTTTTCTACATTGCTCTACATCTTTAAAAATGCAATGTTAATTTCTTCTTTGACCTAAAAGGTCTATATAGCCTACAAAGTAACTTTATCTCAACTTGAGCCAGTTATTTATCAATGCTTGGAAGACTCTGGGACATCATACTAACTCAGAGGCGTAGCAACCCTTCCTGGCGCCCGGGGACAAACTTTTCGATTTGCACCCCCCCCCCCCTCGAGATTTTGATTTGCACCCCCCTCAAGCTTTCGATTTGCACACACACCCCCGCTCGAGATTTCGATTTGCACCCCCCCCCCTCAACCTTTCAATTTATTTTTCCAACTCATTTTGGCACCCCCTAAGGTCGGGGCCCGGGGACATGTCCCCCCGCCCCTCGCTACGCTACTGTACTAACTAAACCCAACAACTCTCTATATCAACTCAGCAGAGACTTCAAAAAATAATTGGAGAGAAATGTACACTGATTAACTGCATTTGTGTTATCTAGTAAAAAAAATCTAACTAGCTTCCTACCTTGCAATTCATCCTTGTATTCTTCTGAAGTTTGAATTTCCTCCACACCTGGCGTTGCCTCTTTGGAAGCTGGTGGAGAAATCTTAGATTTTTCTTTAGATGCTTCCTGTAGATCATTACTGATGAATTCGTCCTTGACTGGAGGGGAAAGCACAGTAGGTGGCTTGGTAGGAATGTCATGCTGTACTGCTTCAATCACTGTTGGCTTTTCAACAAAAACAGCACTGGTGTCAGCAATTATATTTTGAGACAAAACATCTTCAGCAATGACAGCTGCATGGGCTGTTGGAATCTGCTGTAACTGGACTTGCTGTACTGGAACTGGCTGCATGGCAGCTTGAGACACTGGTTGAACTAGAGGAATTGCTTGATGCTGAGTAGCTGGCTGTTGAGTCAAGGGTACAGACTGTTGATTGGAATTTTGTAGCTGGAGAGGCTGGGAGGGTTGCTGTTGGGGCAAGTAATTAGTTTGATAAATGGGCTGTTGCTGAGACTGGGGTATAGAGTGCTGTTGAAGGGGATTCATAGACTGTTGATTTATAACATGTGGCATTTGACTTCTAACTTGTTGCTGAGGCGGAACTCGAATAGGATGGATAGAATTTGGCTGTTGGGGGTTAAAAATCTGGGGAGGTGTGGGTTGACGGAAAGATGGAGGAGGTACATTAACATTGAATGCCGGCAAGTCAGGAGGGGTTGCAGGAGCCGGGGGCTGTTGTATTATAGCTGGCCTCATACTTGGGTGCATATTATGCATCATAGCAGATTGTTGCTGTTGTACCTGCTGAGGGGGCTGTTGATATTGTTGACTAGGTTGTGTGGCAGTGGTGGGAACACTGCCAATCGAAGTTTGATTTTCTACAGGAACAGCAGCACTAGAATCTTCAGGTGGTTTTAATCTGTCAGCCACAAGGCGTGTGAACTGCTTTCGCATGTCTTGTTCATTGGAAGTAGCCTGTTAAAGCAAAATGTTAAATCATTATACAAAATTAAATTAAAACTTTAGAGAAAAAAATCAAAAGTTAAACATGAAGTTAGCTTAGAATTTACTTAAACACACAATTTCGTGCATCTAGGTTTCACAATACTTACAGCTGGGGGTTCTTCATGATGTTCATCAGCTTCATTTGTATGGCTTTTGTTAAAAAGTTCCTCAGTTATACTTCGTCCTGTATTAGGATCTGTTATTTCAAGTACTTTCCTTTTCCTTTGCTGTGGTTCAAAAGGAGCCGCAGTTTGTTGCAATGGTTGGTTAGGCCATCCATTTTGAAAATACATTATATTTCCAGCAGCATAATTTGGTGCAGGGTTGGGCTGATACAATGGAACCCTCTGATAAGAAGGTGCTGCGTACTGAAAAATATTAAAGTTTAGTAGTATTATGCTACAGATACAAAAATAAAAATCCAGAAAAAAAAATGCAATTACATTTAGCAAATATATACATATACATATGCCAAGACCTATAAAAATCCTCATGTATTGGGTTCCATATATGCCTCTTTTTTTCAATACTTCCCTGCATCTTTTCTTTTTAACATTACAGCTGTCTAAATTACAGATAATCAGCCATTAAACAGTAATGGTAATTTAAAATGAGCACTTGCTTTGAAATCATCTAATGGGAAATGATAAGAATTTGACCAGACTCGCTTTGGGATTAACATTTTGCCTACACCAGCCCTTGACTAGTGAATATAGGCCCTACCAGGGATGCCATTTATTTTTTTCAAGTGAATCTTGAGATTGAAATATCAAATTTTACCAATCCAGAAACCTAACTTTTGAAGATTTTAAAAACCTTAGGTTGAGAGAAATTTTAAAAATGTACCATTATTTTATTACTTTTTGAGACATTTGTTTCAATGTTTATTCTTCTTTGAAACAAACTTAAAGCAAAAATATTCAAATGACTGTGCATATTATAACAAAAACATTTTAGACTTATTTCTACCTCTTAATGTAACTTTTCAATACCCCCCACACACATACACTAAACTGCTGTTTGTGTTAATTCAAATTCAACACACAGGAATTTAAATTTAAGCACCACCTATATTGAGTTAAACTGTGTAGTCAGCCATCTGGCTAACGTTTTGTTAACCTTAACATCTTGTAATTTTAGAGTTTTAATGTTTTCCCCTTCACTCAAGATGACATAATAGAATAAACCGGGAGTGATCTCCCCTAAACTTTCTCGAATATTCTTATAACACTACGGGGGATGGCAACTCGAGATATAGACATGTTTTTTAATTACTTAAAACTTTTTAAAATAGAATATCGTAGAAAAAATAATTGCACACCAAGCGAACGCCAGGCAAAATGTGTATAATAGTGCGGAATATTTTTAGTACTTTATAAATTCTTATGAGTTTTTTGAGAAATCGGAAATAAAAATTACTACTTTCGGTCAACGGAAATTACTCAAAATTTGATAGAAGGCAGAGAATTAGAATTAGGCTTATGAAAAATTGAGAGTAGAAAAAGTCCCACTTCCAGTTATAGAAAATTGCTCAAAAGTTATATGGATCTATGATTTTGATATAATTCTTACATATATGAAATTTCATCAACCTAGCTGTAACGGTACTCAAGGTATCGTGTTTACACACAGACATACGGACAAGATTGCAAAACTATGTTTTCCGACTCAGAAACCTGTAAAACGTTGAGATTTGCAAAAATCTCGATTTTTTTTGTTCACGATTACAAGACTTTCTCTATACTTCGTATATACGACAAAGTAAAAATGGAAGCTTTTAAGTTCATGTTATGGAATTACGCAAGTGTTATTCTGCTGAGAAAGCACTGGATTTGCAATTGGCTTAAGGCACATTTAAGACTGTCAGTGACATCTATTAATACTAATAGTTTCGCTGTCTGTCTGTCTATCTGACAAGAATGCTCTGTCTGACAAGAACGCTCTAGAGAAAACACAAGCAAATTAAAAACCTGCATAGTAATTCGAAAAACGAAGTATGACGCGGTCACATTTAGCACAGAGTAGAAAATAACCTCAAGCCGGAGAGTGCACACAGTAATATGACGTCATTGATTATCGAGTAAACATTGAATATAAAGGCAATTTTGTCTAATCTAAGTGGTTTGCGTGAAGAGTTTCTTTCATACAATTCTTCGGGTAGGGGCGAAGCCCCACCCCCGCGTAAGAACGTCTGGGGGTGTGTTGTGGTTTTAGTTTAGAGAAAAGAGACAGCACTATCAGCCTAGCGCCCGTTGTATCCTTCCTCAACGGGCCATTTTTCTCGTATATATATAATTCTCTTCTGGGAGGCGCTAGAAAACAAGCTGCAAGCGCGCTCCCTACCACCCCCACATGGTCTGGTGAGCTGTGGTTCAGGCTAAATGTTTACAAGCAGAGCCGGGTTTAGTGACGATTAGGGGCAGATAATTTAGTTTGAAACGATTTTAAACGTGGGGGGGGGGGGGGGTAACTAAGTGGAGTTTACTTTAACGGAGGGAGGGGGGGGGGGGAGGAGGGGAGTGTTATCGTCCTTAACTAGCTACTTATAGTGTAAAAAGAAATATTTATAGTGGCAGCGTTGGTACTGTCGAATTCACAAATTATGAATTACTGAAAAGTAGAAAAAACAACAACTAAATAGCGGCGTATGATATGCCGCGGGCCGGCTCGTTAACCTTTAATTTTCTTCACAAATACATTAAATTTCATGTTTTTCTTTATCTGGATCACCTGTAAAGGTAACTGTAACATTATCCTTAATATGAGCAAGTGACAAATATTAACACATTCCCTACTAATGCATGATGCTACAGCCATTATTTTTATCAAAAAGCATTTCTAGCTATTCACGCCAATTCAATGTAGTACAAGAATTTCCCCCCCAAAAAAAAAACCTGGACGTTTCTAGCATTTTTGTTATCTATTTATTTAAAAAGCAATGTATGTCTGCGTGTGTGTCTGTCGGTCCTTTATGCATTACTACACCCCTCATCATATCGCAGTGAAACTTATTTAATTCGCAGAAACCTCAACAACAAGTTTCAAATTCGCGCCCCGGCAGATTTGTTTCTTTCTCTATAAGAAAATAAAAGTATGATGCAGTTTGACACTGTTCATCCAATCGCAATGAAACTTTGCGGAATTTATTAAAACACTGATACGGAAAAACATAATTTTGCAATCTTGTCCGTATGCCTGTGTGTGTGTGTGTCCGTGTGTAAACACGATAACTTGAGTACCGTTACAGCTAGGTTGATGAAATTTCAAATATAAGTATTTTATCAAAATCGTAGATCCGTATCAACTTTTGAGCGATTTCCGATAACCGGAAGTGGTACTTTTTCTACTTTGAATTTTTCAAAAGCCTATAACTTGAGTACTATTTCAGATAGATAAATGAAATTTGATATGTAAGTAAAAGATCTAATTCTCTACCTTCTGTCAAATTTTGAGTAATTTCCGTTGACCGGAGGTACTTATTTACGCTATTTCCGATTTCTCAAAAAACGCATGTAAATTTATAAAGTACTAACCAGATTGCGCACTATTATGCACATCTTTATTTAGCGTTCACTTGGTGTGCATTTCTTTTTTCTACGAGATTATATTCTATTTTTAAAAATTTGAGTAATTAAAATGGATTAAAAATTATGTCTATATTAAGTCTATATCCCGAGTTGCCATCCCCCATAGTGTTATATTAGAATATTCGAGAAAGTTTAGGGGAGATCATTCCCGGTTTATTTTAAGTCGGATGCGTTTCAACACCTTTCATCAGAGTGCTATAAAACTTGGGAGTTAATAAGAATACTCCCGAGAAGTTTTCCGTAACAAAATAATTAAAATCTGTTTTTGTGGGACTTTAACTGGGAGGGTGCGATTTTCATCCACACACTTCGTGGCGTCCAGAGTTCCAGAGCGGCTATGTTAGCACTTGGCAACTGTTAACCGTGCGGCCTGCATAGCGGGTAAGGGGTACTACTATATTAAAACTTCAACAGGCCCAACCACCTGCACCGCATAGATTGAACGACCCGAAGCGCCCTGGGCTCCCCTGCGAGCACTATGGCGCCTAAGTTTGTTTAAAAAAAATTTATAAAGACATGATGGGCAACAATAATTGTTGACTATATCAAACCAGGGGCCCCTGTAGAATTCGATTCGATTTGGCGGCCTAGGCTCTCCCCTGAGTGCAATGGCGCCTGCGTTGGTTCTAAACAGTGCGATAAGACAAAGGATAAATTGTGGCGTTACAGTCGCTCACTAAATTGAATCAGGCGTGTCCTCTCATGCCCTGGTAGGATGCGATTTTGCTGCTAACAAAAATTGCACTGTTGATTTGTGTCACTTTAGAAAACACCTCATTCAGCATCATTGTTTCAGGATGCTATTTGCAGGGATGTGACCAGACCAGGGAAAAAAATTAGGAAATTTTCTTCGGATAATAACTCAATGATTTATCTAATTTTTATCGCGGTTAAGCAGCTTCATACCGCAGTTAAGCAGCTTCATACTGTTACTGTACTAATTAATTGTTTAATGAAGTTAATATTTTTAATACAAGAAGTTTATGTTACTCTAAAATATTTAACATTGAAAGTCTTGTCTAATTGCAATTTAATGTTTACCTTATAATCAACTTTTTAAAAATTACAATGGAACAAAAGTAGCAATTAAGTTTTTTTTTACCATTAAGCTAATTTAAACTGTACTAATCTAGTGTACATTCTAGATGTACTCCTGTTTTCAATTTTAAATAGGGGCCTAATGCCTTAGATCTCTATATTCTTTTAAAGATTGGATTGGTAAAAATATTTGTCTTCAACTGTAAAGAGCCTAGATTAAGATTAGTTATAATTTGAAAGTTTTAGGTTCATGTGATGGAAAAATGAAATGGATCAGGTTAGCTAAAATTAGAAAGGGTCTGACGTGTGAACCAAAGTTAATCATTTTGATAGCCAAGCCATATCGATATTTTTTTTTGGAATAAATGTAAATTGTTAGGGGTCATCCACGTTGAGTTTAGTATTTTTCTTTTAATCTGTAGGCCTACGAAGCATACGTATTGCAGGAACAGCTATTTGAAATTGACTGTGACGTCTTTTTTTTTTTTTCACAAGCAGTACCGAACACGTACCTGGGGTCAAGGTGAGGTCACAAGAGCCACCGTTGCTACGAGGTGGGGCGGGTTAGTCTAGTCCTTTTGCAAGGATTTCAATATTAATTTGAGATTGCGAAATAAAATAGAATCAGAGAGAAACTCTAGATTTAGGCGGGTTAAAATACTGATAGCTATATCGATAGCCAACCAGGCTTAAGAGATGTCAGTTTCATTTGAATAACTGCATTATTTTAGATTACCTTTTCCCAGTGTTTTTGATAAATAGTAAACTGAAAATAGCGGAAAATTTGGACTAAAAAAAGTGTGTTTTGAAAAATTCGAAAGTCCGCCGAAATTCCGAATCTTAATCTACATATAATCTTGATCTAGCACTGTCAGACCTAGCGCAATCGACCAATCGAAAAGAAATGCGCATAATCGAGTGTCTGTTTGACTTAAGTATAGTACAGTAGTTGTCAATTTAAATACGAATAAGTGGAATGAGCATGTTGGCCCTTTCCGTAAAAGACATTTCCGTTTTTTATCCTAATTTTTAAAAATTTCGTAAAAAATCGACAAAAATTGAAAGTCTGCAGAAAAATTCGGCGAAAATTAAATCAGCGGAGGAAAATCGCAACTGAAACGGAAAAATCGGATTTCCGCTAAAATTCGGAAAAGTCACATCCCTGTATTTGGCGCTCTGGGTTATCCTGTGAGCACTATGGCGCCTATATTGGTTTAATTAGCCAGGGGCCGTACATGGCACCTCTGCGGTTGTGTAATCGGGGGCACCCGACAGCGCCCCTCTACGTCCCTGACACACGGACAGTCACTAAATTCTACCTCATTATTTCGGTAAATGGTTAACATACACTCAAGGTTTTCATGCAGTAGTTTGGGGGTAGTTTAGGTAAACCCGTGTCCCAATATTTATCATCCAAGCGCAGGCATTGTTTACATTTAAATAGCTCAGTTTTAGAGAACAATGTCACGCGTCTAAGTAAAGGATTGGTAACGCATTGGTGAAACCTTTCTTATAAATTAGACTTTATTCAAACCCTGCGGCAATACGCGGGGACGGGTGCGCTAGTTATTTAATACTAAATTAACTAAGACAAGTTTCGAACAAATTTTATATTATGTTAAGACGAGCCGACCCACGGCATATACGCTGCCATTTTTAGTTGTTTTATTTTCTACTTCTCAGTAATTCATAATTTGTGAATTCGACAGTACCAATGCTGCCACTGAAAATATTTGCTTTAAAACACTATCAGTAGGTCGTTAAGGACGATACTACCCCCACCCTCCTTTCCCCCAACCCTACACCCCCCCCCCCCCGTGAAAGCAGCCTCCTCTTAGTTACCTCCCCTAAGTTTAAAATAGTTTACTTTGCTTTGTTCAAGGCAATTTGCATATTATCTAAACCATTTTCTCATGTTATACTACTGTCACAAACACCATTCTATATTAACTAATTTTTGTACTCTAAAACAACAAAAGTATTATAAGCTTTTTTAAAAACTGGAGTTAAAACAGAATCCAGTGAAGTGATGTATAAATTGTAAAAAGTTAAACCCCATTAACAATTTGTTAATAGACCTTTCTAGCAGGAGAGATAATGAACATGTCTTTTTTATTTTCGATTATTCTGGTTTTCAAGAACAAGATATGTTAGTGGAGCAATCACAACTTTAAAAAGCTGGTTACAAGCTACTAGATAATCCTTCTGAGACTATTCTTCTGTGCTAAGAGATTACAGACTTAAATAAGAATGCATAAAATATACTTACCATATTTGGGACAATGATAACATTATTGCCTTGGTAAGGAGGGTTGTACATTACAGGAGACTGTAATTGTGGTGGTCTTGGTAGCCTCCCACCCTGAGGTTGTGCACTTATATAATACTGCAAAGGCAAGGCCTAATTTTATCTTAGAGCTTGTGTGGTAAAAATTTCACTTGTGGGCATTTTTAAAAATGTATAACTAAATCGTAATAGTATTTGACTCTTTAAGACTGGAATTATTTCCACATTAAACACCCCCCTCCCCTTAATTTTTTAAGAACCCATCCAGAAAAATGACTCATCTTTTAATGTAATGGTTACAATCAATAGAACAACCATTTAAAGAGATGCTGGGAGCGTCATTACAATAAAGTGGGTAGGCTGTTCAAATGTTGGGAGTGACATTACGGTCTTAAAGAGTTAAATTCAAAACTACTGAAGTATGTAAGATTTGATATCTGTTGTCAACTTGACAGTAAATCTTTAATAAGAACTAAAAATCAAGTAAATTATTGCAGTTAAACTTACTTGCTGTGCAGGCTGGGCGGGGGGAGGCTGCGGGTTCCTCATGCCCTGGTTAGTTTGTTGGTAAAAGCTCCCTCCTTGTGGTATGGCTTGTTGGGTTGGTCCAACTCTGGCACTGTTGCCTTGTGTTCTGCTATCATTTATGGCACTTCCATAGGCGGCCTGTAAAAGGCATTCTAAAGTTAACGACTGTAATTGAACTGACAAGACATCAAAGAAATATACAGATTAAAAAAAGCTGAATAAACCATCGAAAAAAATAACCATGAACAGATTGAAAATACAAAAAAAAAATTAAATGCATTTTAGAACAAATGGAGGTGGTCACATTTTAACTTTTTTTTATAATTCCTCATCTTAGGCCAATTTAAAAATATATCCAGGTCACTTTAAAACAAACTAAAATTCAATTATTTTCTTTCAAGTAAACTAAGTATAGAAAGAAGTATTGTAATCAGATATTAAAAAAAAAAGTGATATTTGTCACAATTGTAGACATTTTGCACCCTGTAACCCAAAAATTATGCGCCTGTTTTTGTTAGTAACTTAGGTAGGTTGATTCTACCATCCAAATCCTTATAGTTTATATAAGTGTTTAGAGAGCTCACTCCTGCATTGTTCTCCATTGTATATCACTTGATCAATTATTCAAACAGTCCACCACGCTAACAAAACAATGGAAAATTAGCTTTTATGTAGAAAAAAAAAGTTAGATATGCAGTTGTTATGAAGTGTATACCTTATAAGGATGCTGCGGCTGCTGAGGATATTCAAATGCCTGTGGTATAGCTGTGAAGTAAATAAAAATAAACTCTTATGTACATAAACTCTTTTGTACATTCCTCCGATGTAACCTAAATTTTACAGCTGGATCTTAGGTCTGTCAAATAATAAACGGATCCTCTTATTAGTTTGTAAACTTTTAATTCATAAATTAAGATATCTATTGCAAATAAAATTATATTAGCTGCACAAAAGATCATAAACATTTTTTCTACAAAAAAAATTAAATTGTAACATAAAATGTGTTCCAGTGCATTTCAAATTAAATACTGACAAAATTGAATTTTACAGATGGCTTTTATCTATAGTTGCATTAATTAGGAAGGAAAGGGATTCTCAAGTAGGATAACAGGTACGCAGGTCAATATCTAAAGTATAGGGGAAAAACATAAGCAAGAAGCAAATCTTTTGAAAGCTCTCTCTCTCTCTCTCTCTATATATATATATATATATATATATATATATATATATATATATATATTATTATATAAGTAAATAATAAAAATCCATAAGTTTACCCTAATATAATTTTCAAGCTACAGCCACAAGGCTACTGGACAACTCTCATTCTAACTAACTATTGTTTGAAGGGTCTATACAATATGTCTACTCAGGAAGGTCAAGAGTTCGGTCAAGCATGACCACCTCTTTAATTAAACTCATTCAGGCAGTTATACTGTTGAGGAGAATAACCTTCTTACAATGAATAAGCAATCAGCTTACTAGGAAACTATTGAGCAAAGGTCAAGTAAACATTTAATTCCTTCCTGAACTATTTGAAAACCAATTTAATATATACTGTATATATACAGCTGTTTCCCTTAGATGTGATAATAAAGACATGAAGAACACATGATGGTTCCTAAAGCAAAGTGGTACCCTATTTTATACTACCCTGTTTGAGATTAAATAAACAAGAATATGAAAAAGAGTGTTACCTTGATAATACTGTGCAGGAGGTGGTGTGTTTGAGACTGAACTGGATAGTGGTTAAGGAAATGTACCCCTAAAGACATTTATAATATCAAAATTCTAAATAGATGATAAACATCAGAGATGAATTATCATTCTCATTTCTTTCCCTTCACTTATTGCAATTAATAGTTTATTAATCATGCATAGGGCCCTACTATATATTCAGATTTTAAGCTGTATTTTCTTGTCAAGTATGGAATAGTAAATAATTGTTCCAAATCACGTTCAGATATTTTAAATCTTGAGTATGTTACCCTGTCTAAATACTATCTAGCTACCAGACTTCAAAGTAAGTTGCTTTGTAGAGTTATATTACAAAGAAGTCTGAGCTATCTGCTATGCATTCTTTATTGTAATATTGGAGAAGATATCCTCCAATACAAGTATTAGGTTATGCGCCTTATAGCTTTTCTATCTTCATTTGTTTCCAAAGCCTTTGTCCACCAAGAACAATCTGCAATGGCAACAGAGGATTGATTTTGGAGTTACTCTCATAAATTGGTTGCTGTTCACAGCTAACATGAATCATCTGAGGATATGAACGCAAAACGTTTAAGTTAGCAATCACACCCTCTCCCACCTGCATGCTGTCCCCTCAAAATATCTGTCAAACACAGCAGATATTGTTTCTTTGTCTTTTGTTTGAGATTGACTTATAGGATTTGCCCAAAACTTCAGGATATTTTTTCACATTTCAAAACATTAACTCCAGATTACAGCTAAGTTCACTGTCAAGCACTAGTAGAAAAATAATGAAATTTCTATTTGAAATATAAAATGAAATGTTCATTAAGTGCAGGGGCACTTTACAAGCAACCAAAATTTTGGACCAGAAGTAACTTTTAAAGTTAAAGATATTGAAAAAATTGAATTTATAAAATGACATCCTGCAGCCTAAAACAATCATGTGCAAAATCTACTATCACCAAAATCTAAGCTACTTAAGCTAGAAATAGATCTAGTACCTAAATTATTTAAACAGATGGGTAGTGGCAACATAGAACATGAACTGAAAATGTAACAGACCCCATGCCCATAGCCATAGATAGAAGAAGAGTGGCCAAGACAGTAAAAAGTGGGGGCGTGGCAAATTAAAAATACAAAACAATAGATCTTAACTTTTAAGACAAAGTATGAAATGTAATGCAAATTCCTTATGCCATACTTATTTAAAATTAAAATAAACTAATTTACATTTAGAAATCTAGATACAGACACAGCTAGTTTGATTTCTCAGCAACATCAGGTTCATGTTTATGAAAAAGCTGTGTAACAAGATATGTAACAACTAATCAAACCAGAAATAAGGAATTAACATAATTGCCCTCTCGGTACACAAATTAAAGGATACTTATGTCTCTGTTGTTGAGGTATCTGATCCGAGGGTGATATAGATGGGTGTCCTCTTGATGTCATTTCATTAATTTCTTGTGAATTTAGTCCTCAACTGGGACGAATTTAATTGCTATTTTTCGAAGACATTCTCCTGGTGTGAAAAAAAAATAAAAGGTGAATCCAATGAAACATGTTAATTTTACTTACATGCGGTGAAAATAAATTTGAAACAGATAGTATATGTATACAGATGGATAAAGATTATCGGCACAATTTTTCAATATGGCCATTACTCTATACCTGATGGAGATACACTTCGGTAATATTCGGTAATGTGGACTTCACTTCCGGGTCATAGTGGCGTTCTTTACTATTATTAGCGTATGAAAATACGACTGATATTTGTACAGTTCATCACTACCAAAAAAAGTTTTAAACTATGTCAATTTTGATGAAATTTGTTATAACTGTTGCTTTATTTTTTATCCTACCAAGCGGTCTATTTTCTAAAGTAGCCGTCGCGTTTAGATCTATATATTCCGCGTTAAGCTTCACGTTTTGCGCGAAACTAAACAAATCGTAATTGCCGGTTGGTCAGTGGGATATTTTTATTTTTATTTTGAAACCAAATGGTTAATGTGCGTAGATCTAGATCTATAAACATTAAAAATATATAGACTAAATCGTGTAAAAAACAATATTTGTTAAAAGATAAATATTACGAATAATGCATAATATTATTTAAGTTTATTGATTACAGAATGGAGTTTGTCAGACAGCTACTAATGTTGCTAGGTAGATTCTAAAAGCAGGAGGTAAAAGAAATCCTTAGAAATATAGGCAACGAAAACAAATTCTAGACTAGGCCTATACTGTTTGTAAAAGCAAAATTTCTTGAAAATAAAAACCTTGTAAATAAAGCGAGTTTAGCTTAAGAGTCTCGCAATTTTTATGCAAATATTAAGTTGTCTTTTTTTTTTTAATAAAAAAATAAAAAACGCGTATAGGTGGCTTTACACTATGCCATTCCAACATAAATTACATGGTGCAGACATTTTTCTCCGGATGGAGGGGGAGGGGGGAATGGGCTTAAATTCTCGGTGTGACGGGTATTATACATGCTTTTCTGGGGTATCAAAACCCAACCAGCTTCAAACTATGTTCAAAGAACAGAGTCATTAAAATATGATTTTACACTTGACCAAATCCATAATGATGACTGACGAATATTGATATCACTATAGCAATACGTTTTAACTCGCTGTCGTATTTGAACCGTCATCGGCCGCGGACAGAGGCGTAGCGACCCTTTCCGGCGCACCCCCCCCCCCCTCAAGCTTTCGATTTGCACCCCACCCTCAAACTTTCTATTTGCACCCCCCTCCCACAGGATTTCGATTTGCACCCCCCCCCCCTCAAAATTTCGATTTGCTCCCCCCCCCCCAAGCTTTCAATTTATTTTTCCAACCCATTTTGACGCCCCGTAAGGTCGGCGCCCGGGGACATATGTCTCCCCCCCTTTACGCCTCTGGCCGCGGCCGCTAGTTCATCGTGCGCACTGACAAAATCCGATGAGAATGTACATCTGATGTTATGTAAGAAATGTTTCTGTTAGTGGTAGTTTGTTAAATTATGTCGTATTTGCCTATCACTCTTTGATTCGCATAGGTTTGTCTCAATACTGACACCATCCACGGTGCATCTTATGTCCCCTAAACCCCACGCAAATAAACTAGTCCACCTGGTTTTCTACTAAAAGACTACAACAATCCAACAACAATATTTCAAGTCCCTCTCATTAGTTTCGTCCACAATGTGCTAGTAAACTACCTAGCTTAAATATATACGCTATGTCGACCCTTATAATTATATTACAACAAAATTAAAAAATTAAACTCTTATAAAGTAGATAATTCACAAGTGCCTTTAGTAAAACGTAGTTCTTTTTGGTCAACATGCGTAAATTCACGTTTTTAACTGTGTGTAGGCACTCATCTTAAGATAAACTTCGGTACCCCCCACCCCCCGTTAGTTAATGAAAGCGACTATTGGCCCCCTATTGTACAGAGGTTATCGACTGTACTGTACTCATCTGTTGGATTTAATAAAGGCACATGTTTTGGAAGTAATTCCTCTGACCCTAGCTATGACATTGCTGCAGTGTTTCTTCCAGACTTTTTTCTCCTGGGGGGGGGGGGGAGAACTTGAAATTTTCGGGGGGGGGGGGATGGGCGGACACTGTATATATTTTCTATATAAACTCCATTTCGTTCGGGGGGGGGGGGGGCAAAGGAGATGCCTGGAAGAAACTCTGCATGGCTGGTAACACAGTTTACTTTATATTTATAATCTTGCTGCTGGCTGCTATTTATAATGAATTGATGAATAAATGAAAATGAGGAGTTTACGTTAAAAAAAAAGCTGTTATCTACAATAGTCATTCATCAGTATGTACAATGTCTTTGACCAACACGGCTGTTTTCAAAACAACGATTGGCAAAGTAACGGCTGACACGACTTCTAGTGTTTCAGTGTTTCTTCCAGACTTTTTTCTCCGGGGAGGGGGGGGGGGCGCCTCTTGATATTTTCGGGAAGGGGGGGAGTTGGCGGACTACATGTTCCGGGGGGGGGGGGTAAGCGGACACGGGTAAAATTATGTTTTCTATTAAAATTCCATCTCGCTCAAGGGGAGGGGGCGGTAGAGATGCGTGGAAGACTCAATTCCAGAGCAGAAAATGCAAGCCTCAGAAATGTCACAAAGACTCTTGTAAACATTATCAAACAATTCGCAAAGTAACTTTAACAATGAAAAAAAAACCTTTATAGAAGACTGCACTAATGACATTAAAACGCGCATCTCTAAAGTTAAACAAGCTTTTGCAACCATGCAAAAAACATGGCGATCGAAGAAAATCTATCGAAGACCAAGTACTGACTTTTCAAAAATAATGTCCCCTGCGTCCTTCACTATGATAGTGAATGCTGGAAAGCAAGCGCCGCTGCCATCCAGTCAGTGGATTCAGTGTTTCTTCCAGATTTTTTCTCCGGGACGGCACTTGAAATTTTCGGAGTGCGGGGGAGGGGGGGGGGGGGCGGTAGACTTTCTTCGGGGGGCGGGGGGGGGGGGACACTGTTAAAAGTATATAAATTTCATTTCGTTTGGGGGAGGGGGCGGTAGACTTTCTTCGCAGCCACCCCCCCCCCCCTGAAGAGATGCCTGGAAGAAACTCTGAGTGGATTATTAATAATATTACCATACTAAGTGCCCGCGAAGAATAAAAAGGCATCCACTAGGCAGTAAGCCAATGTCTGAAGATTTCAAAATTGATAACGTATTTCGCACATTGGCCAGTCCTTTCTCTAACCGGCCAGGATGACCTTGCCAATGTTCACTGAGTGCAGAGTTTCTTCCAGGCATCTCTTCGGGGGGGGGGGGGGGTGGCTGCGAAGAAAGTCTACCGCCCCCTCCCCCAAACAAAATGAAATGTATATAATTTATATAGAAAATATATACTTTTAACAGTGTCCTCCGAAGTCCCAAGTTTGGATCTCGGGCGCGAGTCCGTTAGGCATCTTTGATATCATCCAGCTCTTATGGGTACATGGCTCACGTTAGGGAAAAAGGTAAGATAAAAGCAGCTGGGCATAGTAGGCCTACTGACCACACTGTCCCTTTATGTGAAACCGCTGAACTATACTACACCTTCCCCATAGGCCGTCAAGTTTAAAGGGTACTTTACTGTAAGTGATACACACCTCTATGAAGATGAGGTGAGACAATAATCAAAGAATAAAATCCATCCGTTTGCAACAAGACGCGACGTTCAAATGATGTAGATTCTGCTCTTATATAGTGAACAGTAGGGTCGAAGCGACTTGAGGTGACCTGTGCATTAAGCCTTGTTTATTTTCTCAACTTTAACTGTGAATAGCTCAATATTGCAGCTTGAAATAAGCTTTTAATTTTTTCCCAACCCCTCATGGCGCCCCCTTAAGGGTCGCCCCCCCCCCTAGCTACACCTCTGCACGGAGCATTCCTACGCAGTTTCTACATCCCAAAAAAAATGTCAATATCTTCATTGAAGGTTTTCATGATGGTCATGCAGTTTTATGACTCATGCATTTATCAGCGTATACTACAGTACGGGTTTTTGGTACAAAAAGTACTTGTCCTAGTTTCTCTACCTTTTTTGCCTTCCTCTAATATGTAACCAGATTTTCTTTTTGGCATATCAGCGGGGGAGGGGCGAGAGGAGGGGAACTCCCGAACAAATCAGTAAAAAAATTATATGGAGAGTAGCATATTTATTTACTTTAACCAGTGTCCACCACTCCCCCGCGCCCTAGAGAAAAAAATCTGAATGAAACACTGATTGCAACACACACAGACTTGCAAAGGTAAATTTAATGTTGATCATAAAAATAGCTCAAAATAAAAAAATGTATTGCCAAATTAACAAGGCCTTTCATCAATTGGTTTGGTGATAATTAAAGGCGGATCGGCAAAATTCTACGTACATTACTTCATCTGTGAGACCATGTTATTTTATTCGATCAATAAGGCATTCTAAGTTAAAATATTATTAATTTTAAAAAAATATGTTTAGGTACACATGATGTTAATCTTTAAATTTCAGTGTTCTTAAAGTTAATAAATGTTTTAGTTTAAAATTATTTTGCAATTTTAAATTGGGGATTTTGTTAAGATGAGATAAGTGTGAAAAGATATTTTGACAAATCCATCACTAAATAATTGGTCACTTTAGATCTTTAAGTAATGGCCGACACAAAGGCCTATAAGTACCGATAGTCATGATTTTTATGTAGCCTGTAATAGCACATCAAGAAAATTATTTTAAAAAGTGTTTTTTAAATTGTATGATAAGAATAAAAATAGAACACAAGTTCAATCACCTGTGCTTTTCTCAAAACAACAGCATGGCCATGAAGATTAAATAAATGCAGTAAAAAAATAAGAAAAAAATATTTCTTTTTAAACATTTTTTAATTAGGAACATTTTACCCTGGAAGAATACTGATATACATTTTTTTTTTAAAAAGTGAAAATTTTCTTTTATTTCTCTTTGTCCTATAATTTTTAACATATCTCTGGCAACATTGTTACTCAAAATAAAGTTTCATAAGTGTAGATTTATTTGAAATAGCTTAAGACAATATTATCACAAAATGATAAAACAATGAGCAACTACATAAATGCAATTAGAAAACTATTAATCTATATAAAAAACAATATTTATAAATGATAAATACAATAATTAAGCAATTGCTTTTGCATAATATTTCATTATGTGAAAAAGGGAAAAAAAAACAATCATTGAATTTTTGAATCTATGTACAAAACAGATACTACATTTGTAGAAGTACAACATGAGAATTTTTTTTTATCGTTCTTGAGCAGCAAGCTATCACTTTCAAACAAAGATCTTATACAGTCAAGAAAAATTACACATTTTAAGAGAGAAAATAATAATTAAACTGTATTAAAATCTTGAAAAAAGTAACAACTGATACTGTTTAATGATCTAATATAGATTGTCATTCCACAAGCATAATCTAAATATTACATTTAGTAATTTTGTGATGTTTTGTGATGAGGGGGAGGGGGTGTCAGATGGTGTGACGTCACACTTTTGTATTATAAAAAAGCAATGTTAGAAAACAAATTTTAGCTTTTATTTCACATTCTAATAAACTGTTTTAATAAACTGCAATCAAATTGATTGAAATGCTCTATGTTGACAGAGTTCAAACAAGATTTTGGAAAATATCAATGTTTTAAGAAAAATTTAACTGCAATTTTGAAGGGGGTTGTAGGCGGAGGTGTGATGTCATTTTAGTGGGGGTCTGGCTTTTGTGATGATGTGTTACAGAGGAGAGGGGGGTAAAAATCATCCAAAAAAGCTTGAAGTCATTAATGGATGACCCCATATATAGACATATATATATATATATATATATATATATATATATATATATATATATATATATATATATATATATATATATATATATATATATATATATATATATATATATATGTATATATATATATACATATATATATATAGACACATACATATACTACTTTCTTGTAACTAAAAATCCATATTTTAAAATTATTCAAAAAAATATTCAATGAAGAAAAGTATTCATAGTTTGGATGATTTGATAAACAACAGTAAACACTGATAAACTGAACTGAATGGCTGAAATTTAAGAGTATTGTAAAAACATTCACTAGTGAATTCAGCTGAAACTCATGGGAATGCTAAAAGGCCAAAAGCGAGATCATTTACACAAACAACAATTAAATTACTAATTTGTCAATGGCATTAAGAATGTATTGATTTGTCACCGGCATTAATGGTTGTGCCATAGAAATTTCCTGTTGAATAGTGTGCGCCTGGTTGAAGTAGATCACCTTCCTCATCCTCTTCATCTACAGTAGCAAGACCAGGATTCAAAGGACGCATATCTTCTTCTTTGTTTTGGCGAATTCCATATCCAAAATAAATGCAGAAACCTATAGGTAACCATTAGATGTTTAACATTTTTAAAGATACATTGTTAAAATATATGAACTATTAAAATGAAACATAATTTGATTTAGTAAATTAGGAAGGCCCTTTTTATAGGTTATTTTAAGGTAGGTAGCAATAGAGGAATGTTAATAGAATAAGATTTACTATTTGCAAAATCTTTTGAAGTACCTGAAGTGTTTTCATCATAATAACTTTAATTAAAATTAATAACTAAAATTATTAACAAAACAAATTTACCAATGTTAGAAACAAAATTATGTTATTGGGTTAGAAAGAGATGCAAGTGTTAGGCCTATGCTGTAGAAATCATAAAAATATATCAAGATTTTGTATCTGAAAATCATGGGAAGTGGTTCAAAATGAAAAATTTAAAATTGTCAATACTTAGCAGTTCATAAAATTTTAAATTTTTTTCAAAAGTTTTTCCACAAATTTTTCTGGTCTATAATTAAATTATTTTTTTACCTAGAACTTAAACAAACAATAAATAATTTCCTTTCAAATTATAAAGTTATTTTTTTTTTATCTATCTCATTTTCTTAGATTAGGTCACAAAAATAATATGCAATTTAAAATACATATTTGAATACTGTACACAATAGAAAAAAAGGAATGCTGAATTTTAAGACGTATATTTGTGTTTATTATGGTTTTCATGATCAATTAAATTTATATCCTCATTGGATTGGGATATGTTATTAGTCAGGGGATCCTTTGAATTAGTTGACAGTACAGATGAGGCAGTCGACAATCTCTTCTCTGATGACTCATACAAAATCAAACAGGTGAAGTATATGGTGAAGCCTGGAAAAAAGAGAAACTTGAAGCAGCAGTGTAAGAGCAGGTGCTAGAGGACATGAAGTCATGTGACATCACAAAGGGTGAAAAGTGAAGTACACTTCTACAAATGTTGGCATTTGAGGTGAAATCAGAATTTAAAACAAAGCAAGCTTCAGGTAAGGTAAAGAAGTAACAAAAAGTTAGTAAATGAAAAATCAGGTGGACATGCAATTATTTCTGCTAATTTTAATTTTAACTTATTAAATCTATTGATGTAAGAAAATAACTGATTTGTGATTTCTACAAGACTACAGCTACAGTACAAATACAAGCAAAATATAGTAACTAAATAATAAAAAAATAAATACTTTATTGTTTACTTTATGAAAAAAAACACATGTTAAACAAACTACAACTAACTATTCAGGTTTCATAAAAAAAATCCTAAACTTTAATCAGCTAAATATTTTCTGTTAATTACTTACTTTTATTGTGAATTAATAATAGTTCCATTTACAAATTGTTAGTAAAAGTTGGAGGTTAAATATAAAAAGGTTATATTTATTAGAAAGCAGTTTAAAAATCTTTTAAGGAAATTAATGAAACAAATCTTACCTATCAACATCCAAACACCAAATCGTACCCATGTCATGGCAGATAATTTGAGCATAAGATAAATATTGACTAAAGCACTAATAGCTGGTATATAAGGAACAAATGGAACCTGAAAAAGAAATACAAATATTTTGGAGGTGAAGAAACCTTTAAAATAAGACATAACCTTGTGTTTCTATTCATTAGTACTAGATAATTAAAATGAAACTTCTAGAGCAGATACAAAATAATTTAACACTTTCTGCAATGTAGGATTACCATCTTTACAACTTTGCAAGCTAGAAATATGTGGGATTATTTCTAAATCATGCATCATCTCATCATCTCTTCCCTTTCATGCCCAAGACACATAGGGTAGATGAACTTTATAGTTATCTATATTCTATATCAATGACTTGGGATATAGGGGGATCACATGATAAGCACTATGCCTAGTTTCCTTAATGTGAGTCAGGTGTGGGTAGACTCGGGGGAGATCCTACAGGCTTGAGCCTGGGATCCAAACTCAAAACTTTTGGGTTAGTAGTTGTGAGCTCGACTAGCCACAACCAAATCATGCAGTGTACACCTTATAGTTTAATTAATATTTTTAATATCAATTTGAAAATCGAGGTATCTTGGAGCTTTTGTTAAGTATGTTTCACAATTAATTCAGTTAAAAATTAATACAAAGTAAATTTTTCTAAGAACCTTAAAGGCAAGACTGGCTGTGCTTTGAGGCTGTCTCTGAATAACTACTAAACAACACACAGGCAGTAAAGTTAACAGTGTTGTCATGGCGATTGCCCAAGGCTCTTTCTGCTCTAGATAATCAGCAGCATAAATAACGAAAGCTGAGAAAGCTGTTATGAACAAACCTGGAGAAACAAGAAAAATCAATACTTAAAATCAGTTTTGTGGTTTATGTGTTAGGATTATGGATAAACAACAAAGTCAGTCATATTTTGGCCAAAATATAGTGATTCTAAAAAAAGTATTGGTAGATATTGGCTGCAACTGTAATTAGATGTTTAGCTAAATGTGTTATATAATATAATATATAATACATTTTTAAATTTCACTAAAAAGAAATTTTTAAAAACCCTAATTTAAAATTTGAACCTAAATCATTGAGATATTGACAGTGGAATTTAAAAACAAAAACAAAATAACTTTAAAAAAAATGATATATCTCCAACTATCAGATGATTAAAAAGATTATATATTAGCTTATTATATTGAAATCATTTTGTGACTAATATTTCAACATAATTATTACTCCGATTTTACTCACAAAACAATGCTACTGTGCTTTTAACTATAAGAGATGTAAGTTTAGTTGGTGATGAAGTTCTGGGTACCAACAGCTGCTTGACAGAAAACTCAGTTCTCACAATAGACAAGCGCTCTGCTTCATCCATCTTTGTCACACTCATACTTCCTTGAAGGTTAACATCTGCTTCATACCTGGAAAATGTAATGTAAATAGCATGGTGACCTTTTTAATAACTACAATTTCACATTAAACTTAGATAGGTAAAAAAAAAAGTTAGAAGGAAGAACAACCTTAAAATAAGTACAGATATCCCAACGAGGGTGTAGGCCAACAATGTTCCTATAGACATCATATCAACAAGTTCTTTTAAGTTGAACAACATAGCCATTAGTCCTAAAATAGAAGAAACATTGTTTAAAACCTGAGATTGATAGTATTTGCAATTTTACTTTTATATTGTATATACTAAAACTCAAAATCAAATAATTGTAACATTTTACAACATACATTAATTTGCATATAAAACAAAATATAAGGCCCATATGCTACATTCTCCATTTAATCAATAAATCTACTCGCAATGAATTTTTCATTTTTGTATAGTTTCTACTTTATTTTATATTATAAGTAAAATCTCATCTAAAATTCAAGTATAGTTATAATCAGTTATTTTTATTGATTTATCATTTTTTTTTAAAATTACATTTTCTCAGGTAACTCAATACAAACCTGCAAAAACTCCTGAGATGGCGGTACCAATGACAGGTGTTTTAAATCTTGATGAAACTTTACCCATAAATTTAAAAATGACACCATCCCCTGCCATTGCATAGAGGACCCTGGGTAAAGGGAACATGCCACCCAAAAGACTGCAAAGAGAAAAAAAAAGTTTTAATTAGCTAACATATTTAAAAAAAACATTTATATGAATGGGTAACCCAAGTGTTTTTTGTTTAGTTTCTATTCCACTTTTTAAAAACCTGGTTGTTTAACAATTCCCATCTAAAATGAAGTGTTAGCTTTTTATTTATCTGGTGCTTTAAAACAGAGTATGCCTATTTTTTCTTAATTTCTTTTACTAAGTCCACTGTCATCAATGTTACATTCTTTATATGAGCTTTGCTAGTTTTTATGTGTTAAGACCTAAAACAGCTTTTTAAATCCGTTTAAATATATTACCTGGTAGATAATCCACAAACAGCTCCTACTGTTATGATGTACCTGGCCACTCCCCACCCAACTCTATCAAAGACTGCAGGAAGTGCAGCATCCTTGTCCAGCAGGAAATAGGGACACATGAGTGTAAGAATGGCTGACACACTGAAGTATGACAGGAAGATGATAAGGAGAGACACAATAATCCCAATAGGGATGGCACGCTGAGGGTTCTTACTTTCCTCACCTGATGAATGCAGAACATTTTTGATTGAACAAATATTACAGTAATAAATTTCAGTCACAGCTAACTAATAGGTTTAAAATTGCAAAAGGCAGTGTTTGGATCAAAATCTCTAAATCACACAATCAATTTACATATGAGGATCACAGCAAGTTTATTATTTCAACAATCTCAAATGAAATATTCAGATGTTATTTAAAGATGACTTCTATAAAAATGTAAACATAACACATCCCATCCCCAGAACCAGACTGATCTAACTCCAGTTTTTAAAAATGTTCACAAGGCTTAAAAATTATGTTTTCCTTAACATTGTTATATTTTATTTAGTGGAATACTTGTGTAATAATGGAATTAGAACAGTCTGGTTCTGGCGAGACAATATATATAATTAGCAATCAGTGCATAGTACATAATTCAAATAAAATTAGTAGAAATTAGAATTCTTGAAAGAAATAATAGATCATCCAAGTATAAAAAACAGTTAAGATTTTTAGTTTCTTCACCAGCACCAAAATAGATCTATAGCATACCTGTTGTGGCCACACAGTCAAAGCCAACAAAGGCATAAAAACATGTTGCAGCTCCAGCCATCATACCAGAGAACCCAAAAGGCATAAATCCACCAGTCCCTGCAGTTTTTGGCACCTAGAGATTAAATTTTCCCCATAAAATTTGCTGTTTTTATTATAGATCTAGATTTATTAAAAACTATGATCAGTTACTTCCATACATGAAGCAAGTTTATGATAAATGCTTTTTAACCATTTAAAAAAAAATTTCAAGTTTGAAAAACCATTAATGATAGAATAAATTTTATAAAAAGCTGTATAAAGAAGAATGGATTTATTACACATATAGCTGAAAACAAAATCCATTGTGTACCAGTAAAAAATGATAGATTTAATGTTTTTTCTATGATTTTTAATTTAGATTACATTTTGTACTGACTGACTCCATATTGTACTTACTTCAGATTCACTTAAATTCCAGTTTTTCCAATCAAACTTAAAAAAGCCACAGATAGTGACATACACAACAACAAGCAGATTGACACATGTGAAAATGTTGTTTATCATGGCAGATTCTTTCACTCCAAATGTCAACAAAACTAAAATACATTTTTTAAAAATTCTATTTTCTTAGTACAAAAATTTATATGCCTAACATAAAAAATTTAAAAAAATTACAAGACCACGTTATATAAAAAGAAACTTTATTAAAATAAATATTATATTATTTTAAATTTCTCCCTTGGGAAGACCTTTTTAAAATTCTGCTAAACATTAAATGACATACCAGTAACCAAAAGAGTGATGCCCAGAGCAAAGAAATCTGGATATTCAGATAATTCATCAATGTGCATTGGCATAGTACTGTTGAAGAATTTGGAGATTTTTTTGTCTATCAGGGAATCGAAATAACCACTCCAGCCTCTTGCTACACTGGCAGTGCCTGAAGATTAAGTCAATTTCATGTAAAACACTATCAAGTGTAGTTGATTATAGGCTAGTGAATGTAGTTTGTACTCTGTATTTTAAAGAGAAGGACGGAGTGGTTGAATGGTGGAGCTTATGTGTCGAGTTCAAATCCTGAGCTTAAGTCTGTAGGATGTCCCTGAGTTCATAGGTACCTGACTCATGTTAGAGTGCTGACCACACTATCCCCTCATATGTCAAAGTAACTAAAACAGGTGAGTTCTACTTCATCTGACCCATGTGACTTGGGCATGAACCGGAAATGATCATGGTTCTTATAAGGGAATAAAGAGTGATATAAAGAGTGATTTTCATAATCTACAGACGGATAACTGTCCCACAGTTTTACAGTCATATTAGCCAGGTGTTTAAACATAGTTCTAGGTTGGCCCTCACAGTAGAACTGATGGCAACGTGGACTTCAACCACCATACTTCACCCAATCTTTGAAAAAATAGGAAATTTAATTGTTATTGGAATATATTAGTTTCTGTATCAGTGTATTCCTTTAATGTTTTTAAAAAAAATTGTATTAACGCAATCCATCTTCTACTTACACTACCCTGTTAAATGTTGGTTAAATGACAACAATGATGATATCATTCAAACAAATGTTAGTTAAATGATATCAATGATGGTATAATTTAAACAAATGTTATTTAAATGATAGCAATGTCTGCATTGGTTAGATGAAATTATTAACTACAAAATATATTGTATAATATTGTGAAAGGATTAGGATCATAAGTAATAATAGTATTTAAAAATACATGATAATTGTGTTACGATCCCAAGTGATCTTTACCTGTGTTTGGCCCCATCGAGGAGGGCCAGGTAATTAAAATGAAATGCTTAGGCATGTTAATGCACTGGCCAGTTTAGGCCGTGAGAGTCTGGGGGTCTTGACGCAGTTGACGGCCACACCACGGATTAGATTATACGCTGTGGGCGTGGCAGAATGGAAGTCTTCGGGACTCGGCTATTAACGTGGCCAACAGCCCGTGATTTACGGCTGGGAAAACCTTCCAGATCGGAAGGGGCCGAGTGGACCGTCATGGACGGATATGACCTAGGGTCAGGCCTTAATTAAAATCGTTCCCACGGTGTAGAACGGGGGACAAGTACTTTAGGAGGGTAGACAGCAGACTAGACGGACGCTCTCGAGACATACTCGGGACACACACACGGAGACGGACTCGGATGGCTAGGTTTAGAGGAGACAGACATGGGTCGTCTCTGTGAGCTAGTGGAAAGCCACGACATGTATTAGATTTAGGCTAGGCTAGACAGTTAGGGACAAGTAGGGCAGTCGAATTAAGGACTTTAGTTGTTATAGGTAGTTGTGTATATTTCTGATTGTTGTACTTTGGTGGCGGGTTAATGTTAGATGTTGTACTTTTTGGCGAATAAATAGAGATTACTGAAGTTGGCTTTTATTTATTTTTATTTTTCTTCTTCTTGTTTATGATCCCCTGACTAGTTCGAAAGGATTAGTGAAGGGGGTACGTAACAATTGTTTAAAAATATCCCAGTATTTTATGTTAATGTGTATCTATTGTCACTCCTTCAAAAAGAAACTGACATATATCTAATTAATTAAACAGCAATTAATGCCACATTAAAAGCATAAATTCTCTTTGAGAGAGGGTAGATGAGACTACATCTGTTTTTCTGAAAGCCAGGTATGTTTTACTGACTTACACGTCTATTACCCAGCTCAGTGGCTTACTCATACTGTCAGTGGAGGTCAGGGACTAGGCAGGTCTTTTAAGAATTGTCACAAGTGATACAAAATACTACATTTTGACAAAGTGAAAGTCTTATGTTGTGGACAAGTTGCTGGTTCTGAACCTATGTTTTGGTGAATGTCTTGGTTATTTCTAGTTGATCCCCAATGGGAAATGGCACACACCACTGATTCATCATTACAGGGTGAACACAGTGACTCTACTACAGACTCAACAGTAACTGAACTTGAGACTTTTGGGATAGGAATCTAACACTCTACTATTTAACCACACCATCCAACTTCAGTATAGTGATTTCAACAGACTCAACAGTGACTGAACTTGAGACTTTTGGGATAGGAACAGAGGCGTAGCGATGGGGGGGCAGGGGGGTACATATGTCCCCGGGCGCCGACCTTAGGGGGCGCCAAAATGGGTTGTAAAAACAAATTTAAATGTCATTTTAGCTGCATTTTTGCATTATAAATAGTTTAAGGGTGGGGGTGCAAATCGAAAAATGTAATTTTAGGGGGGGGGTGCAAATTGAAAATTTGCTCCCGAGGGAGCGCCAAATTGAAAGTTTGTCCCCGGGCGCCGGGAAGGGTCGCTACGCCTCTGGATAGGAATCCAACACTCTACCATATGACCACACCAACCCACCATCCAGTAACCAACATCAGTGATAGCATAAAATAAACAGCGCTTGATGCTTTAAAAAATAATTCAACAATTACATATTAAACAGCACTTGATGCTTTAAAAAATTATTCACCTATTACGTATTCCAGAACCAGATTCCAACCAATGATGAAAGCCATAAATTCACCGACAGTCACATAGCTGTAGACGTATGCAGACCCTGCTCTGGGTATACGTGCAGCAAACTCAGCATAGCACATTCCTGCAAGGGGAAATATGATTTATATCCCATGAACATTTCATACTGCAGTGGGCTGTAATATGATAAGTGAGTCATTAAAGTGCAGTGTTTCAAGTTGTCTCTGCTATACTTAAGGTTTTGTATTATGTTAACTGGGACATGTTGTAGGGGGTGGGTTAAATATGCTTAACTAAAATGTTTGTATTATGTCGGCTGAGCTATAGGCTAAACAGGGTGAATTTTATGACCTTTCGTTCATGAAACAATAATTCACTGGCAACATTACAAAAAATATAATTAAGTCAGTTTATCTCTTATAATTTATAACATAGCTTTTAATTCAATATTCAAGTGTCCCAAATGTTGTATTTTATTCCACCAGAACCAGTTGTTATTTTTAATTTTTTTCAATTTTTTTCCATGATGCCTTGGAGTAGATGTTAAAAAAAAAAAGCACAAAAAATGAAATTATACTTTAAAAATCTGGGTTTGGGGAAATGATATTTCTATTCTATGTTATCTATATCTTAATCAGGACAATGCCTTTCCAGTATCCCACACATATCTATGCTAATCAAACGGCTATTTTTAGTTCATCAAATTCTCAACCAACCAGCTAGAGCCGAGGCCACAGCTGCCACCAAGAACGAGATTGTCACAGCTGGGCCAGCTGTCTCCAGGGCAACTTGACCAGCTACCACATACAGCCCAGCTCCCAGGGTGCTTCCAATACCTGGTGAAGATGCCAGAAGGAATCAACAGCAGACCAAAAAATACATGTCATTGGAAATAGTTTTATTTTAAAATTGAACCAAAATAATCTGCAAACTCTAACTGCCCAAAAATATTTGAATGTTCTTTTTCAAGACCTTCAAAAAGGCGAATCAGCTACCATCACCCTTTTAAGCAACTCATTAAAAAAACCACACACCTTAAGGAGGGGGTGGGGGTCCAAATGTTATGACTATTTTCAAAATGTGGGATGGGCATGAAAAGCGCTTGATGCTTTAAAAAATAATTCACTTATTACAATTACATAATACATGTGAATTCAAACTATATTTTGTTAGATTAGGGTCATTTTAAATCTAATAGCTATGAAATGCTAGTCTAGATCTATATACTGTAGTGTAGTGGTTATAAGAACATGTACCTAATCCTATTAAGTCAACATCTGTAGCCTACTAGTCATTATACCAAAATGTACCTAATCCTATCAGGTCTACATCTATTCTATAGTCTACTGTGGTTATACCAAAATGTACCCAAATCTATCAAGTCTAGATCTATAAGAGGCGTAGTGAGGAGGGGGGCGGAGGGGGGTACCAAAATGGCGCTAAAATGGGTTGGAAAAACTAATTATAAATAATTTGAGGGGGGGGGGGGGGTAATTTGAAAGTTTGAGGGGAGAGGGTTGCAAATCGAAAGCTTGGGGGGGGGGGGGGGTGAAAAATCAAAAGTTTGAGGGGGGTGGGGTGCAAATTGAACATTTGCTCCCGAGGGAGGCGCCAGGAAGGGTCTCTACGCCTCTGAGATCTATATAGGTCTAACTACAGTGGCTAGAAGAAAACGTACCTAAACCTATCAAGTCTACATCTATAGTCTACTGTAGTTATACAAAACGTACCTAATCCTACCAAGTCTACATCTATAGTCTACTGTAGTTATACAAAACGTACCTAATCCTATCAAGTCTACATCTATAGTCTACTGTAGTTATACAAAACGTACCTAATCCTATCAAGTCTACATCTATAGTCTACTGTAGTTATACAAAACGTACCTAATCCTATCAAGTCTACATCTATAGTCTACTGTAGTTATACAAAACGTACCTATCAAGTCTACATCTATAGTCTACTGTAGTTATACAAAACGTACCTAATCCTATCAAGTCTACATCTATAGTCTACTGTAGTTATACAAAACGTACCTAATCCTATCAAGTCTACATCTCTAGTCTACTGTAGTTATACAAAACGTACCTAATCCTACCAAGTCTACATCTATAGTCTACTGTAGTTATACAAAACGTACCTAATCCTACCAAGTCTACATCTATAGTCTACTGTAGTTATACAAAACGTACCTAATCCTACCAAGTCTACATCTATAGTCTACTGCAGTTATACAAAACGTACCTAATCCTACCAAGCCTACATCTATAGTCTACTGTAGTTATACAAAACGTACCTAATCCTATCAAGTCTACATCTATAGTCTACTGTAGTTATACAAAACGTACCTAATCCTATCAAGTCTACAGCTATAGTCTACTGTAGTTATACAAAACGTACCTAATCCTATCAAGTCTACATCTATAGTCTACTGTAGTTATACAAAACGTACCTAATCCTATCAAGTCTACATCTATAGTCTACTGTAGTTATACAAAACGTACCTAATCCTATCAAGTCTACATCTATAGTCTACTGTAGTTATACAAAACGTACCTAATCCTATCAAGTCTACTGTCGTCAGACATCTGTTTAGACTCGACTCTTCAATATCGGCATCGGACAGGATCTTTTTCCTGACCAGCCGAGAAGCAATCCTTCTGATGAGCGTCATGATTCTGTCAAATAAACAATAGGCCTACATGCATATAAGACAAACATATTTGAATAAACGAAAAAAATATCATTACAATATAAAAGATATCTCAGATAGTGTGGGGGTTTATTTTGTTTTGGTTATTTATGCCGGTAAAATATTTGTTGACCACAGAAACAGTCATGTAAATGAGTGAGCGAGTGAGTCACATTGACCACTGGGCCATCCACGCTAACCACTGAGTGACCACTTGTCCATCCACGCTAACCATTGATTGAGTCACATTGACCACTGGGCCATCCACGCTAACCATTGATTGAGTCACATTGACCACTGGGCCATCCACGCTAACCGCTGAGTGACCACTAGACCATCGACGCTAACCACTGATTCAGTCACATTGACCACAAGACCATCCACGCTAAACACTGAGTGACCATCCACGCTAACCGCTGATTGAGTCACGTTGACCACTAGACCATCGACGCTAAACACTGATTGAGTCACATTGACCACTTGACCATCCACGCTAACCACTGAGTGACCACTAGACCATCCACGCTAAACACTAAGTGACCATCCACGCTAACCACTGATTGAGTCACGTTTACCACAAGACCATCCATGCTAACCACTGATTCAGTCACATTGACCACAAGACCATCCACGCTAACCACTGATTGAGTCACGTTTACCACTAGACCATCCACGCTAACCACTGATTGAGTCACGTTTACCACTACACCATCCATGCTAACCACTGATTGAGTCACGTTTACCACTAGACCATCCATGCTAACCACTGATTGAGTCACGTTTACCACTAGACCATCCATGCTAACCACTGAGTCACTGGACCATCCACGCTAACACCTGAGTGTGTCATGTTTCCAAGAAGTCAACGACCCAGGGTGTCACGTTGACATTCATGGAGTCATATTGATCACTAAGTCACGCTGACCACCGAGCGTGTCACGCTGACCACCGAGTGTGTCACGCTGACCACCGAGTGTGTCACGCTGACCACCGAGTGTGTCACGCTGACCACCGAGTGTGTCACGCTGACCACCGAATGTGTCACGCTGACCACCGAGTGTGTCACGCTGACCACCGAATGAGTCACACTGACCACCGAGTGTGTCACGCTGACCACCGAGTATGTCACGCTGATCACTAGGTCACGTTTCCTCTTCGTATTACATCTGCCACACATTGTCTGCCCTCTCTCTCTCAAGCACTTGTTACACTCGGCTAAAACCGTTGAATAGCGAGTAATTTATACATGGAAACAAAGAGACGTGCAGTGTGAGCTAAGCTGTTATATCATCAACCCCAATCAATGCAGGTGTCATGAATACATCCCATGTATCCACACAATATGTCATCAGCACTTTTACAACAGGTTAAAAAGATTAGTTTGAATAACTACTAACACGTCGGTGAAATATAGGACTTGTACTCACATTTAATTTTGTTTAATTTAATAGAACGGTCTGTTAGAGGTTCATTACTCATCGTCATGCAAAGTCAACCCCAATCCCTTATCTCGCCCTAGTTGAATGTAACCCCATAACTCACTAATTCGTATCTCTAGTTGCCTATCTAGTAAAGCTAGCCCTCATTTCAATACAATCAACCAAATCACAACCAGTGTTTCTTCCAGACTTTTCTCTCCGGGGGGGGGGGGACACTTTCAAAAGTATATATTTTCTATATAAATTTCATTTCGTTCGGGAGGAGGGGCGGTGGACTTTGTTCGGAGGGGGAGGGCGAAGCCTTCCCCCCCACCTCCCCCCGAAGATATGCCTGGAAGAAACTCTGATCACAACTTTACAACACTATACTCGAAGATAGCCGCAAGGAATAAATATCCGTGTACACTTTGTTTGAATACAAAATAAAAACTGTTGCCAATCGGAAAACAAAAACAACACAACAGGTGAAATCAAAACAATTTTTTTTTACATGTATAGGCGGATCTACTGATGGCTGGGCAGGTGTGTGTAAGGGGGGGGGGGGGGGGTGAGGGGGGGGGGCGTACAAACATAGACTTTTTCATGTATCTTTTCTGAAGGTGGCACGATCATGCTGGCTGTTTGCATATAATAGCGACGGGATTTAAAAAAAATAAAAGTGCATCGCAAGTTGTAAGTGAAACCTCATAAACCGCATATATACGCGCATAGGGTGCGTAAGACAAAAGTCGAGAACTGATGTTCTATTTTTAAAACGATGTTAACACTAACTAGCCTAGGTCTAAAGATAAATCAACTCATTACATGGGGCGGCATGTGTAGCTCACATATTAAAAAAAAAAAAACACCAACTGACGTCTTAAGTCCAATATATGGGCTTTAAAAAAACCCTAACAATTACTAGTAATCGGCTAAGTCAGTGGTTCTTAACTTTTTTGGGGGTACCGAATCCCTCCAGTTTCATAAACGCATTCACTGAACCCTTCTTAATACTAATAGTTTTTTTTTTCTCCGCACGGACAAAATCCAATCCTGTGTGTGACTAGACCTCCGCCGAACCCTTGAGACTGACTCATCGAACCACAGGGGTTCGATCGAACCCAGGTTTTGAGATCCACTGGGCTAAGCCTACGACAGAGATACTTTCCTGGAAAACCAATTTCCATAGCACACACTCGTTGGGCCCTCGTGACCTCTCTCCCAATTACAGACTGGATAGGTAGAGCGGGAAGAGAACTATGGGCCTATACTTCATTGGTGCTTATGAAATGATAGACCACTGTGCCCCCTTACGTTTTGAATAACATAGGCCCCATGTTATTAAGTCCACAATGCCTACTGATCTTCAAACCGAGGCTCATACATCAATAAAAGAAGAATCTTCATTTTCAGCAACTGATAAGATGTATACATTGGAGCTATTTCTTTATTAGTCGTTATTTTAGGGGAGGGGGGTCATACTGAAGGTTAGGGGTGTTGGCGGAAGGGTACATTTATGTCGACCCTAGATATCTATATGCCAGATACATGCCCATCAAGCCCTATCAAAGGGTTTAAGAGGAACAAACGAAAAAAAGAACCTGGACAGAGCTATACGTTTGTCAAAAGGTAAACGTCTAGACAATGGTTTACTTATTAACTTGAAATAATTTAAAGCTATCGAGGGATCTTAGTTCAGACGATTAGCATACACATAAATGTATGTTTCTACAAGTCCCGGTACGGTAATTAATTAAACGACTAATCACATTTCTGTTTGCTAACGTCTGGCCTAGTCCTCTCTGTTGGATACTGTCCCTTTTGTTTATTTATTTTCACGTAAGGAACGATAACTTTAGCTGCGATTTTCTGATTAGAAGGTTACGTGGGCTGTTATGTTGATCTGTTTAATAGATTACGGAAAGGGCTTTGGTAATCGTTGTGTAGTGGCGTCCGTTTGCGGTCACAGTCTACTTCAGGGGGCAAAGTTCACGGTCACGCGTGAGCAGTTTTCAGTGTGATTCGATAGTGTTTATAGACTCTATTCTAATACATTTAGACGCAAGTCGACAAGACGCCAACAAGATAATCCGTGTACTTGACAAGTGTGTCTGTTTATGTAGCCTACGTCGATACGCCATATTTAGTTGTGAATTGGTCTAATTCGTAATTTAATTACTAAATAAAATAGTAAATATAATAACTGAATATTTTATATAGCTGAAAAAGCCATTTAATATATTTAATTATGACTATTTAATATGCATTAATAACTTAATAAGTATTATACTACGTTCAGAGGCGTATCCAGGTTTTCGTTGTAGGGGGAGCGAAAAAAGCCAAAAAAGCCAAAAAAGGCGCCGAATTTTTAACACGTACTATATACGTGTATTACATATATATATATATATATATATATATATATATATATATATATATATATATATATATATATATATATATATATATATATATATATATATATAATTAGTAGCTGTATGTCATTACTGCGCTATGATGTAAAATAAATTGAAAGTAGCACTCTGAAGAAATAAGAAAAAACACACAATGTAGGCCGACAAAACAAAAGTGGTATCAATCTAAACAAAAAAGAAACCAAATATACACACACTACAACCAAAAACAATGAACCTAACACAATCTGTTTTGTAATTCTTGTACAAAAAATTTCTTACATAATAATTCCTGGGAAAATATTTGAGACAAGTGAAATAGGGGAAATAATAACTCTCTTAATATAAATAAGTATATATCTACACATCTAATTATAAATGTCAAAACAAATAAATAATTTTTTTAGAATATAATGAAATTGTTTAACATTATTCGTGTTTACAAAATGTTTTTGTCTATATTCATAATTTAATATAACGTCATCATAAATGATAAAGTATCACACCATAATGAAAGTTTTTAAAATCAGAGTTGGTATAAAACCACGCTTTTTGTTTTCAATAGAAAACATTCGGAATATCAGCCTACAGTTAACTAAATATTGGTCTTTTAGTTCATATCTATTATTTTTAATTAACTACTGTTTCTTTGTGTTCTTTAAAGATCAGTTTTTAACATAGTGATAGGTATGGGTTAGATCACTGTATTGATCACACACCTCTTTACTGGTAATTGCAAAAACAATATTCACAGAGTTTTACGTTTAAAAAGCTAATTTCCTTGAGACATGGTAGTTTGGTACATCATTGAGCGTTTTTCTACATGTACTTAACAGATCAGTTCAGGGTGGGTTGGGCTGGGGGGGGGGGGGTGTTCAACTTCATTCACCACTGTCCGTTCACTTTAGGTCAATTATCCAATCCAGCGTATCCAATCCAGGTGTGACATTAATGTCGCTCTACACAATTGTGGTGGTGAGGTGTGTGTGTGTGTGTGGGGGGGGGGGGGGAGATAACCAACTCAGAGTGAAAATAGCGTCAGTTTTTAGATGACTGTTCTAAACATACATATATATATTACACAAATATATATTACACAAATATTTATTACAGAAATAGATTTAAATATTTTTTTACAGAGGGGTCCATGAGGGAGGGGGGTTGTAACTGTTTCATATAATTTGTAATCGTAATCATTATCGCCCAAACTGTAAGAATACTACTACTTCATCGTGATGACGTGTTGAACTTGTCAAAATTTCCCCACCGCTACGCAGTTCGCCCATAAGTAAATTTAAATAGAGGTGCCACATCAGTTGTATTTGTTTCTGTATTGTAATATTTTAAAAAAATTAATCACACGATTCAAACTGTATATATAAAGTAATTATGTGTGAAGTTTTATGTATAACATTTTCTAATTCAATTATTCGTGAGCAAATACATTATGCATTTGCCTTAAACTTAACGCCCCTCTTGCCAAGTGGTACTTTTCGTAGAGGTTTTTTAAACATTGGAATGCATCGTAATGGTTATTTTTAGAATGGCAAACTGATGCAGCTGTTAATACGTGCTGTAAACGTAGACACTACTAGACTATTGCAATAATGCTTAATTGCTGCATGAAAAGAAATCTTGTGGTTTACATAGATGTGCCGACCAAAAATATTTTTTTAACAAATATTGTTTAAAGTTTCCAAAAAGGCGCCACTTTGCTGAAAATGGCCAGAGGGGGAGCGGCCGCTCCCCCTGCTCCCCCCCTGCGTACGCTACTGACTACGTTATATAATACAAAATACACTAATACAGGCCTAGTAGGCATATGGCTTATTATATAAACATAATATTTACCCAAAAATATAATTATATTTCTCATGTAATGACTGTACAACACACCTGGAAAAAACGCAGGCCTACCCATCTAAGGTAGGATACTAATGAATAGACTGATTAAAAACCTACCCAGGTTAATGAATGAAAGTCCTGACGACGGTTTACATCCTGTGCGGTTTTCCTGATTTACACGGTACGTAATCAGCTGTACGTGTGTCACAGTCGTCAAATCGGGGTGTCAAATCTAGGTCACGACAGGACGTCATGTGCTCGTGACAGTGTGTTGTGGTATATCAGCTGTTCTAGGGAGCTGTAACACACAGGCGTGTTGTTTAGATGGCTCTATCGACGATAACGAGGCTATCGTATTGGAATGTTGACATCTGGATACATGTAGCCAGGCGATTTTGTCGTCTGCGAAGGAGACCTATTTTTAAAAAGTAGAACACGAAGCAAGTGCACGCCCGTTTTGACTTGCTTATGAAATAAGTACAAGCAGCCGGAAGTACACAATTAGTCGCAGCAGTGTTTCTTTCAGACTTTTTATTCTCCCGGTGGGGACGGGGGACGGGACGAGTAAATTTTCTATGTAAATTCTATTGCGTTCGGATGGGAGGGCAGGGGGGGGGGGGGGCACGAAGAGTTTCCTGAAAGAAATTTTGGTCGGCAAGCTGCACTATTCAAAACAATGAATGTTCAGTGTTTCTTCCAGACTTTTTTTCTCTGTGAATGTTTGTTTTTTTAAACCGTCATCACAAGTTTGAGAGTTTACATTTATAAACACACGGCCATAAATATAGGCTATATAGAGGGGGTAGTGTATTTTCACCAGTTTCCGAGAAGTTGTCAAACCCCTCTCCCCCCTACACACCCGCTTTGTGACGCTATACATACTCATACTTCATAATCTTACTCACTTCTCTGAAGAGGGGTAACACTTAAGTATCTGAAATAATTAATTATTACTCAATAGCTCTTTTTAATTTTATACGTTTTTAACACAGTTCGTAACGAAACAGCGTTTCTTTCAGACATGTTTCTCGACCCCCCCCTTCCCCCCCCCCCCCCCCCCGAAGAGATGCCTGAAAGAAATTCAATTACCAGTCGTCTTTTAATCAGTTACTGGATTACATTTTTTTAAAACGTGGTGACGTGTCACATCATTATAAAAATTGTAAGCCAAGAGAGTAGGTTTGAACAGGCCAATTTTTTAAACACTGTTTCACGTGCGTTTGGAATGTTTAGTGTTATAGGTGTCCAGCACTTGACCAGTGTCACCATTAGTGTTATAGGTGTCCAGCACTTGACCAGTGTCACCATTAGTGTTATAGGTGTCCAGCACTTGACCAGTGTCACCATTAGTGTTATAGGTGTCCAGCACTTGACCAGTGTCACCATTAGTGTTATAGGTGTCCAGTTGTGCACTTGACCAGTGTCACCATTAGTGTTATAGGTGTCCGGCACTTGACCAGTGTCACCATTAGTGTTATAGGTGTCCAGCACTTGACCAGTGTCACCATTAGTGTTATAGGTGTCCAGCACTTGACCAGTGTCACCATTCGTGTTATAGGTGTCTAGCCTTGCACTTGACCAGTGTCACCATTAGTGTTATAGGTGTCCAGTCTTGCACTTGACCAGTGTCACCATTAGTGTTATAGGTGTCCAGCCTTGCACTTGACTAGTGTCACCATTAGTGTTATAGGTGTCCAGCACTTGACCAGTGTCACCATTAGTGTTATAGGTGTCCAGCACTTGACCAGGGTCACCATTAGTGTTATAGGTGTCCAGCCCTTGACCAGTGTCACCATTAGTGTTATAGGTGTCCAGCACTTGACCAGTGTCACCATTAGTGTTATAGGTGTCTAGCACTTGACCAGTGTCACCATTAGTGTTATAGGTGTCCAGCACTTGACCAGTGTCACCATTAGTGTTATAGGTGTCCAGCACTTGACCAGTGTCACCATTAGTGTTATAGGTGTCCAGCCTTGCACTTGACCAGTGTCACCATTAGTGTTATATGTGTCCAGCCTTGCACTTGACTAGTGTCACCATTAGTGTTATAGGTATCCAGCACTTGACCAGTGTCACCATTAGTGTTATAGGTGTCCAGTTGTGCACTTGACCAGTGTCACCATTAGTGTTATAGGTGTCCAGCCTTGCACTTGACCAGTGTCACCATTAGTGTTATAGGTGTCCAGCACTTGACCAGTGTCACCATTAGTGTTATAGGTGTCCAGCACTTTATTAGTGTCACCATTAGTGTTATAGGTGTCCAGTTGTGCACTTGACCAGTGTCACCATTAGTGTTATAGGTGTCCAGCACTTGACCAGTGTCACCATTAGTGTTATAGGTGTCTAGCACTTGACCAGTGTCACCATTAGTGTTATAGGTGTCCAGCCTTGCACTTGACCAGTGTCACCATTAGTGTTATAGGTGTCCAGCACTTGACCATTGTCACCATTAGTGTTATAGGTGTCCAGAACTTGACCAGTGTCACCATTAGTGTTATAGGTGTCTAGCCTTGCACTTGACCAGTGTCACCATTAGTGTTATAGGTGTCCAGCACTTGCACTTGACCAGTGTCACCATTAGTGTTATAGGTGTCCAGCCTTGCACTTGACCAGTGTCACCATTAGTGTTATAGGTGTCCAGCACTTGACCAGTGTCACCATTAGTGTTATAGGTGTCTAGCCTTGCACTTGACCAGTGTCACCATTAGTGTTATAGGTGTCCAGCACTTGACCAGTGTCACCATTAGTGTTATAGGTGTCCAGCACTTTATTAGTGTCACCATTAGTGTTATAGGTGTCTAGTTGTGCACTTGACCAGTGTCACCATTAGTGTTATAGGTGTCCAGCACTTGACCAGTGTCATCATTAGTGTTATAGGTGTCTAGTTGTGCACTTGACCAGTGTCACCATTAGTGTTATAGGTGTCCAGCACTTGACCAGTGTCACCATTAGTGTTATAGGTGTCCAGCACTTGACCAGTGTCACCATTAGTGTTATAGGTGTCCAGCACTTGACCAGTGTCACCATTAGTGTTATAGGTGTCCAGCACTTGACCAGTGTCACCATTAGTGTTATAGGTGTCTAGCCTTGCACTTGACCAGTGTCACCATTAGTGTTATAGGTGTCCAGTTGTGCACTTGACCAGTGTCACCATTAGTGTTATAGGTGTCCAGCACTTGACCAGTGTCACCATTATTGTTATAGGTGTCCAGCACTTGACCAGTGTCACCATTAGTGTTATAGGTGTCCAGCACTTGACCAGTGTCACCATTAGTGTTATAGGTGTCCAGCCTTTGACCAGTGTCATCATTAGTGTTATAGGTGTCTAGCCTTGCACTTGACCAGTGTCACCATTAGTGTTATAGGTGTCCAGTTGTGCACTTGACCAGTGTCACCATTAGTGTTATAGGTGTCCAGCACTTGACCAGTGTCACCATTAGTGTTATAGGTGTCCAGCCTTGCACTTGACTAGTGTCACCATTAGTGTTATAGGTGTCCAGCACTTGACCAGTGTCACCATTAGTGTTATAGGTGTCTAGCACTTGACCAGTGTCACCATTAGTGTTATAGGTGTCTAGCACTTGACCAGTGTCACCATTAGTGTTATAGGTGTCTAGCCTTGCACTTGACCAGTCACCATTAGTGTTATAGGTGTCTAGTTGTGCACTTTACCAGTGTCACCATTAGTGTTATAGGTGTCCAGCCTTGCACTTGACTAGTGTCACCATTAGTGTTATAGGTGTCCAGCACTTGACCAGTGTCACCATTAGTGTTATAGGTGTCCAGCACTTGACCAGTGTCACCATTAGTGTTATAGGTGTCCAGCACTTGACCAGTGTCACCATTAGTGTTATAGGTGTCTAGCACTTGACCAGTGTCACCATTAGTGTTATAGGTGTCTAGCCTTGCACTTGACCAGTCACCATTAGTGTTATAGGTGTCTAGTTGTGCACTTTACCAGTGTCACCATTAGTGTTATAGGTGTCCAGCCTTGCACTTGACTAGTGTCACCATTAGTGTTATAGGTGTCCAGCACTTGACCAGTGTCACCATTAGTGTTATAGGTGTCCAGCACTTGACCAGTGTCACCATTAGTGTTATAGGTGTCCAGTTGTGCACTGGACCAGTGTCACCATTAGTGTTATAGGTGTCCAGCACTTGACCAGTGTCACCATTAGTGTTATAGGTGTCCAGCACTTGACCAGTGTCACCATTAGTGTTATAGGTGTCTAGCCTTGCACTTGACCAGTGTCACCATTAGTGTTATAGGTGTCTAGTTGTGCACTTGACCAGTGTCACCATTAGTGTTATAGGTGTCCAGCACTTGACCAGTGTCACCATTAGTGTTATAGGTGTCCAGCACTTGACCAGTGTCACCATTAGTGTTATAGGTGTCCAGCACTTGACCAGTGTCACCATTAGTGTTATAGGTGTCCAGCACTTGACCAGTGTCACCATTAGTGTTATAGGTGTCCAGCCTTGACCAGTGTCACCCTCCTGGCCAACAACCGCGTGCAGATAACGACTCACACGGCCATAAGTAGGTGAAACGTTATCAGATCGCAGATAAGCTTCGTGTGTAGACTCCATGCTGCGTGACGTCACAGCGTTGTCTGGTCGCTAATTCCCATTTGAGTTCAAACGCATTTGGTGCTCTGCATTATTAATTCTGGATTAGGCGTTTAAGTTGGGGTTAGGGCAGAGGCGTAGCGACGGGGAGGGGGTGGGGGGGGGGGGCTAAGAAGTACATATGTCCCCGGGCGCCAAAATGGGTTGAAAAATTAGTAAAAGCTAATTTTAGCTGCAGTTTCGAACTTAAAAATTTAAAAATATATGCGGGGGGGGGGGGGGGGGGGGGAAGGGGGGGGGGAAGATGGGGGCGCCTAATTGAAAGTTTGTCACCGGGCGCTGGGAGGGGTCGCTATGCCTCTGGTTTAGTGTTAGTGTTAGCGGCGTCACTAGGTCAGGTGACCTGAAGCAGTAGCCAGGGTTGCAACCCCGCCTCCGTCTACAACAACAAGTATGATGTACTAAAATATAGAGAATATGATGTCACCCAAACCCCCATAGTATATGATGGTGTGTGTCATATTTAATTAATTTTTTTTTAAACTAGGAAAAGCAGACTTTCTCAATAAATTTTGCAATTGTTTTCGTTTTTGTGTCTCCCCTTCAGTGTTTCTTCCAGACTTTTTTCTCCGGGGGGGCACTTGAAATTTTCGGGGGGGCGGTAGACTTTCTTCGGGGGGGGGGGGGGGGGCGGACACTGTTAAAAGTATATATTTTCTGTATAAATTATATAAATTTCATTTCGTTCGGGGGGGGGGGGGGGGGCGGTAAAACATTTTCGGGGGGGGCTTCGCCCCCCCCCCCCCCGAAGAGATGCCTGGAAGAAACTCTGCTCCCCTTTTGGATGGTGTCACCCAGTGCCGCCCCCTCCCCCCATGTTACGCTACTGGATTTAAATTAACATTC